AGTGAACTGAACCTCTGAAACTGTAAGCAAGCCACCCCAATTAAATGTTTTCTTTATAAGAGTTGTGGTCATTGTGTCTTTTCACATCAATAAAAACCCTAACAAAGACACCAGCACTGCTAAAAAGAATAAAATAAAATCATTTTTCTATATCTCCCACTGTCCTGAAATTAAAGAATTTAGGAATTTAGTCTGTAGGGTGGGGCTGTAAGGACAGAGTGCTTATCACTGAACACACACACAAAATGCAGAAATTGCTTTGCTTGGGCTTATGACATGAATCACAGTGGTTCTTTATGACACCAATAACAACTGTGTACCTGGAGTAGCACACAAACAGATAAGAATGATATTCAGGGGCCATACAACACTGGAATTGCTTCCTGACCTTTTTCACATTCTCACAGAAAATAGCATACAGCATATCGATACACACTGGAAAGAATTAGGATACCCACACCACCCAGTCGCCTGAAACATTTGTATTTTCTTTATAATTACTAATTTTTTTTTTCCAAGACAGGGTTTCTGTGTGTAGCCCTGGTCTAGAACTCGCTTTAAACCAGGCTGGCCTTGAACTCAAAGAGATCCTCCTGTCTCTACCTCCTGAGTACTGAGATAAAAGGTGTGCACCACCACTGCTCAACTAGCAAAATTTTTGGAGAACTTTTTCTGCATTTACTGTGTGTGTGAATACACCTGCATATTTGCCTGCCACACTGAATGTGTGCAGGTTAGAACACAGTTTGCCGGGGTGAGTCCCAGGGATCAAATCCAGACTGTAAGACTTGCTGGCAGGTACCTTTTCTTACCCATTGAGCAATTCCCTGCCTCTTGAATAGAACTTTCAAATACAATCTTGTCAGTTGTTAATCTCTTCAAAAATTCAGTACTGCCAATACCACCAAGAAACACCCAGCAAATGGGTGATAATGTTTTAAGCCTTTTTTTTCCAATATCCATTTGAAAATATATGCAATTCATATTAAGGCATTTAACAGCTTGCTCGCTTTGGTAGATAAGTTAAAATTGCTTACTGTATGAATTTCAGTTTTAAGTGGATTTTGTCATTATAAGTACTTCAAAAGAGTGATGCTACAAATGGCCCAGCTACAGTTGTAACCTCCACTCTAGCTCTGCTACAGTTGTAACCTCCACTCTAGTTCTGCTACAGTTGTAACCTCCACTCTAGTTCTGCTACTAGCTGAGACACCGGTGGCAGCAGGCAGCAGCCACCAGCAGTTGCTCTAGGAAAGTTACCATTTTTTTTTTTTAAGTACATTATGCTTGAGCAGGAATTACAGAGGAAGCAGAGTGGGGAGCTCAGGTGGAGACTCGAGCTACTACACTGTTGTGGAGTAATCTTTTTGTACACTGTGAAGATGTGTCACTTGCATTGGTTGTAAGAACTACTGAAAAAGAAGCCTAAGCTCTCGGCCAAGCTTTCCTGCTTAATAAGCTTCTGTGTGGTTATTTGGGAGGTGGCAGGTGGGACAGAGAGAGACTCGCTACAAATGGAGTCCAACAATAGGGGCACGTATTTCACACAGAACAGGAGAAAGCTTTAAAAATGGTTGCAAACACACAAAAACTGAGCCAAACTTGGCTTTCTAGTTCCACAGTCTCTCATGTGGGCCACGGAACAGTCTCTAGGCCACTGCTATGGGATTGAGCCGCCAGAGCACCATGATTAAGCTGCTCGGCAGTTTAAGACTTTGCTCATGTAGACAGAAAAGGTTACAGATACACAGTAAAGCAGGCTCAGATGGGAAAAACTCTAAACGGGTTCCAGTGTGTTTAAAGATGTGTGTAGAAGATGGGTATAGGCAGTCATAGAAAAAATAGTTTACAAAGAAGATAAAGTGTGTAAAGAGACAATAGTATAAAAGGAAAAACCACATAGAAATGGGAAGCCTAGATCATTTATCACCGGTGTGTTAATTTTGAATTTTTGAATGCTAGTGAACAGAGAATGACAGTTGCTAAGAGACACTGGACTTGCTGAACTAAACCAGCCTAGATATTTTAGGAATGCAAGTCAGAAAATGTATTACTTTGGGGAAGGTTATGCTTTTGTTTCCTTCAAGGTTGACAGAGATCAGGTTTGATCAGGGGAGACCCCCCTGAAAATCCTGGCTACAGGCATAAAGAAATAAACCTGGAAAACTACAACACAAGTGATGTATCTTTTACCTGCTCAAACATTAAAAAAAACAAAAAAAAATCACCATCTTTGCCTGGCTTGTGTACAATGCATAGTTTATACTTGTGTTAATGCAGATATGTATGTTACCTTTGAAAGTTTATGTGTGTTCAGAGCAGGGGAAGAGACACCAATGAAAATAGGTGGCTCAGGTGATCAGCCCCTCAGAGTGCCTCTGTTAGTTTCCTCAGTTCTACATCCAAAACAGCCCCACAGACTTATTCCAGCCAGGACTACAGATAAGCTTTGTGCTTTTCCATTGTACAGAGACTGGACAACAAATGTTATGGCTAGTTTTTCCAGGACTTGACCATTACCCCAATTTTCTCAGGGTTCCCCAAAAATGTCATCACCTCCAGACAACAGGAAGCAGTCTAGAGAATATGATACCCACATTCCCAAAAGCAGTAGGTGTTTTTTGGTTATTCAGTAGGTTATAGATGTTTGTCATCATTTAGGGGGTTTGGTTACAGATTGTTGTTATTGGTCATGGTCAGGGAGAAAACTAAACAAAAGAGGTTAAATTTAAGTATCTCTAAAGGGAACAGGGGGGAATATAATATTGAAATGATGAGATAAAAAGAGTGCATTGTTGAGTCTACTTTTGTTTTTGGGGGGTTTTTGTTTGTTTTCGAGACAGGGTTTCTCTGTGGCTTTGGAGCCTGTCCTGGAACTAGCTCTTGTAGACCAGGCTGGCCTAGAACTCACAGAGATTCACCTGCCTCTGCCTCCTTCGGCAAATCCTACCACAACAACTGGTGAGTCTACTTTTGAACAATCATTAGAGTCTCAAGTATTTTATATTGGTATAGATGTTTGTTTATTGATACAAATAAGATTACTTTTGTTATATTGTATATATGTTTCTATTCTTGTTTAAGATTTGTACCAATACAGCTCATTTAAAAATGTAAAGTTTTAGTACTTAAAAACTATTGTGGAGGGCTGGAGAGATGGCTCAGAGGTTAAGAGCATTGCCTGTTCTTCCAAAGGTCCTGAGTTCAATTCCCAGCAACCACATGGTGGCTCACAACCATCTGTAATGGGGTCTGGTGCCCTCTTCTGGCCTGCAGGCATACACACAGGCAGAATATTGTATACATAATAATAAATAAATATTTTTTAAAAACTATTGTGGATAATAAAGAAATACACGTTAATAGTCAACTACAATCAAATTTAGTCATTTTAGGTATGTTTTCAGGGTCATACAAAGATATATTTTAAATAGAGATGGTCTTCAAATACTTCAAAGACCTACAGAATATGGCATTTAAAATATTTTAATAACTGAAGGCTTTTTATGACAATGGGACACATCTGCTCCTGGCAACACTAATCTACTTCATAAAAGGATGATGGGCATCAAAAAAACTCCATATGGAGTTTGCTTTCATTTGTGGCAAGGTTAGTCACTGGGCAAAGAAACTGCCTTTGCCTCAATTGCTGACAGTATGCATGCTGTCCAAATTGAACAAACAGGACACAAAAGTTTGCCAAATTTTGCCAAGACAAGGTAGGACAATCTGTCAAAATTCCTGCTTCACAGAAAAGTCTATCAGATATTTTAGGCCTCTAGGCCAGAAGGTGGTTGCCCCAACATTATAGAGGAACTTTGGGGTGACTGTTCAGGCAACCAGATGTCTCTATTGTTTCTTACATAATTTCTCTTTCTCCTGTTGTAACTATTTATTTATTTTGTTTGTTTCTAAAAGGCAGGTTTTCTGTGTCTAGCCCTGGTACTTGCCGTGTTGACCAGGCTGGCCTTGAGTTTACAGTTGTCTTTTTCTGCCTCTGCGTGCTAAGAATTCTCTCTCTCTCTCTCTCTCTCTCTCTCGCACACACACACACACACACACACACACACACACACACACACACAAATTGTTTTTAAACTGCTAAAAGAAAACTAGTTGGTGAACCAAGTTTAAAAAATTCTGAAATTCATAGACAATATCCTGGTTTTCTTTAAAATGTAATCCATATTTAAGTTTTTAAAGTTTATTAGTTTATTTTGGGTCATTCATATATAACTGCAAGAAGTAGGGTACATATTCTGTAAGCTAATCAAATCAGAAAGATCATTTACCTTCTTTATTTTATATAACTTTATATGTGCGGATGTTTTGTCTACATTTATGTCTGTGCACTACATGCATGCCTGGTGCATTTTTGAAGGCCAGGATGCTGGGACCCAAACCCAAGTCCTCTGGAAGAGCAGCCAGTATTTTTTTTTTCTAGAAAGATGGATCCTGTTATATTTTTAGTTATTTTTATTTATGTACATGTGTTCCATGGAGGCTTGGAGAGAGCACTGGACCCCCTGGAGCTAGAATTATAGACAGTTGTGAGGTTGGACTCAAACCTGGGGTCTATGCAAGAGCACTCAGTTTTTAACCCCTAAGCCACTTCTCCAGCCCTGTCAATATTCTTAACCATTGAGCCACCATCTCTCCAGCCTCAAATGCTTTACTTTTGAACCACTGAATTATTGGTACAGGTAAAAAGATTAATTTATGGAACCATGTTTATGTGAAATTGGCTGATTTTACTATTATCAATACCAAACAAGACTTTAAATCAATTAAAAATTTATTTGATTAAACATAAGTTACTTTTACATTTGTCTACAACCATGGTGAACACATTCCTGGTATAAAGACACAGTCTTTTGAGTTTTAAGATATCCCCAACTATAAGATTACATATATAAAACTACCATAATTGTGGATGAGGTAATCAAAGTAAAATATACTATCCAGAATAAAATAAAAATGGAAATAATTTACTCATAAGATTCATATTTAAATCATCTTTATTTACAAAATACTATCCTGAGAATTATAATTCCATTAAGCTCCAAGTTGAGCAAAAATATAATCATATAAGTAACAGTTGTTACTTAAACTGAAAATGAGAAGAAAATGACTGTTTAGACCAATATCACCATCAGATCTCTGGCGTTTCTGAAGGTTTAGCTGCAGGTTCCTTTGAAGGTGGAATCAAGTCTGGCGGGAGCTCACTCCTACTTTCAGGATGTGGGGGTGGGGGGAAGAACCCAGCTCTTGGGGGAAGGTAAGGTGGAAAGCCCCTTGGTGGTGGTGGTGCGAACACATTTCTCCCTGTTCAAAGAGATTAGTGAAGCACAATGTGAGCTGAAACCCTGTACTGCACACCTGCCACACCACGTGCACCAGCAGCTATTCTAATACTCAGACACGCACACCAGAATATCTGATCTCACAAACTAATTCTGACACTGAAAAATGTACTTCTTCAACTACACAGGATTAATAAAATATCATTAATTTCAGGTATGTTTGTCCAATCTTCTCAGTTACATAGATCTCAATACACTCAAGATTTACTTTTGGTTTTTCAAAATAGGGTTTCCCTGTAGCTTTGGAGCCTGTCCTAGAACTAGCTCTTGTAGACCAGACTGGCCTCGAACTCACAGAGATCCACCTGCCTCTGCCTCACTAGTGCTGGGATTAAAGGCATGCGCTGCCACTACCACCAGGCTCAAGATTTACTTTAAAACAGGTTTTCAATGTAGTCAAATTTTTGGTGATTCTGATGGAATATTCTACTAAAAACATTACCTGTAATGCCAAGGACCACCTTAAAACTTACCAAACAGTACTCAATTGATTTACCTAGAACTTTAAAACCAGAGGTGAGATCAGAGAGCAGCTACCCAGGACAACTAAGCTAGTTCCTGTCTACTACCTGAAAATATGATTTACTATGTAGAAACCTGTGGTTCCAAAGGATAAAGTGTGCTGTAAAAGCAATAAATTGATTTTATTTTAAAATGTAAGGGAATGAAAGAATTTCGATAAATTTGACAAATAACAAAATACAATCTTAGATTTTAAATAAATACAATCAGCTGGGAACTATTTATGAAAATGATTAAAAATATAATTATTTTAAACAATGACCACAATAACTTTTCTACCAAATGAAATAACGTAATTTTAGTCTTAAAACTGCTTGTAAATTCAGGGATTTTCTGAACTATCACAATACAGATAAAATTCAAAATCCGTTAAAGTGGATCAAGGGAAGCCTTGGCTTCCTTTGTGGCTGGCCTGAAACCTGAGAGCCATCTAATCCTTTTCTCCTGGTTCTGGTCAGTGTTTATCACTGCAACAGAAAGCAAAGCTAAAGAAAAGCACAGATAAATGTTGACACATATATGAATTTTTTAAAAAAGCCGACCTGGGAATGGAGGTGGTGGTGGGCCAGGGAAGTCCCTTGGTGGAAAATAATCTCGAGGCGCTGCATAGATGTTCCCTGGAGGAGGTGGAGGAAAAGGGGGAGCCCTTCTCACGAACTGGCTCCTTGGATCCACTGGAAACAATGGGGCTCTGACTGGAAGAAATGGTGGAGGAACAAAGCCACGGCCAGCTGCTTCACATTCATCAGGGCGAGAAGAATCAGGCACAGTTGAGTTCTGTAACAGATTGACAATCAGCAGTCAGTAAAGTGGCTCAATCCACAGCTGCTTTCCCAGGGGCGCCAGACACAGAAGAAAGCGTGTAGGCACATATGCAAAAGCCAACCATGACATTCTGGAAAGTGGGAGACCAGGTCCAGGTTTCCATACTGGCCTCTGAGCTGCTTGTTCACTATCTTAAGTGTTTGTACTAACAACAGAAAACTTTAAGCATAGCAGCAATAGTCTATCTAGCTCACCCTAAAACACAAGTACAGTTCAAGCATTTCAATTTTTAGACATTTTAAAAAATAGTTTTATCAAATACACATACAAGAAAATATTAAGATATTGATACCAAATCAATGTTATATTTTTAAACTAAAATATTTTAGGATTCAAATAAAATTTCAAGGATGAAAATCTGAAATTATGTTAAGCTAGGAAAGAAGCTTTAAAGTCTTCTAAAAGTTGTACTTTTTTAAAAAGTGGGAGCTATCAGGTTTCTTTCTCATTTTTTTTCTATTTATTTGACATGTATGGGTATTTGCCTGCACATATGTCTGCATACCATATACATTCAGTGTTCTCAATAGATAGAATAGGGCTTCAGATCCCTTGCGACTGGAGTTAAGAAGGGTTGTGAGCCACCACGGCGCTGGGAATCAAACCCAGGTCCTATAGGAGAGCGTCCACTGCTCTGAGCCTGTAAGCCGTTTCTCCAGTCCATTCCTGGTTTTTTTTTTTGAGACAAGATCTCCTTATGTGGCCTGCACTGGCTTTGAATTCACAGTCCTCCCACCTCAGCCTGCCAAAATGCCAGGGTAACATGCATCATCAATACCTGGCTGCGACTTGTATTATTTTCCCACAGGTTACAGTCAGAAATGGAACGTTGTTAATGTTACATAGGAGTATGGTTTAGTAGAATAGCTCTGTCCTTATTCTACTAAAACCAAGAAACTGGATATAGATAGATACATGGGTAGAGTTCAATTTTCAATACTTACACCAGGATGATCTTTGGTATCATTTTTACTGGATTCCATTTTTGAGGGCACTGGTCCATCTAGACAGAAAAATAAAACCAGAAAAACTCATGAATTCTCACTTAATTGGTAGACCATTCCCAGATACCAATGACATTGGCATGTTCCACTGCCCTTGCTGGACAGAATAGCTTGGCATGAATACAACAGTAGTCCATATTAGGATCCAAAAGCAGCCTGAGGGCTGAGGAAACTTCAACAGAACAGACATTCTTCCGCAGTGTCGTGATGACCTTTCCGGCTGGGTCCAAGGCGATCTTGCTGCAGCAGACTCCTGAGTGTACAACTTGGGAGTCAGCACCCACTTCCTGTCTTTTCTTTTGCCCCCTTTCCCTCAGTACACAATATATACTTTTATGAAAGTACCCTTATAGAACATCTCAACAAGGGCACAATGAAAATTTAAATTGATTTTTTTGAATCGTATTCTTTCTTAATGTTATATTCTTTGATAGCTACAGTACAACTTCAGTGGATAGTTGACTGGTAGTTGAAGAGGTCCTGACAAACAGATTAAATCTACTAAATATGAAATGACTAAATGAGATAACTGATTGAGAACATGAATCCAAATTATTTTGCTGACTGTCTTTTACACATACATTGATATTTGCTGCCTAATATCCTTGATTGCTAAACAAGATATATGTAAATGGACCAAAAACAATGAGAAGTTAGCTCTGGAACAGAGGGAAGTTTATATCATAGGGAGATACAGTAAACCCTTACTATGGTATTAAAACTAACCTTCAACACATGTATTAGATGACATACCTATAATATGAAACAAGAAAGCACTGGAGAAATGGTTCAGTGGTTAAGAGTACTGGCTGCTTTTCCACAGGATCTGTGTTCAATTCCCAACACCCATATAGCAGCTCGCAACTATCTGTAACTCCAGTTTCAGGGGATTTGATGCCCTGTTCTGGCTTCCCCAGGCATCAGGCATGCATGTGATGCACAGAAATAAATGCAGGCAAAACACAGATACACATAATATAAAAATAAATAAACTGTTTAAAAAAAAGACAAGAAATATAAACACAGCCGGGCGGTGGTGGCGCGCGCCTTTAATCCCAGCACTCAAGAGGTAGAGGCAGGCGGATCTCTGTGAGTTTGAGGCCAGCCTGGTCTACAAGAGCTAGTTCCAGGACAGACAGTGTTACATAGAGAAACCCTGTCTCAAAGGAAAAAAAAGAAAAGAAAAGAAAAGAAAAGAAAAGAAAGAAGGAAGGAAGGAAGGAAGGAAGGAAGGAAGGAAGGAAGGAAGGAAGACAAACACAGGAAATTTAGGAAAGATATTTTGTCCTTAAAAGCAATCTGGGGCCAGGCAGTGGTGATACACACCTTTAGTTTAAGCACTCAGGAGGCAGAGACAGATGGATGTCTGTGAGTTCGAGGCCAGCATGGTGTACAGATTAAGTTCCAGGACAGGTTACAAAGCTACACACAGAAATCCTGTCTCGAAAAATGAAGAAAAAAAAGCTCAATCTGGGATAGCAATTAAATTAGCCTTTTGTTCAATTCCCAGTCCTCTACACTATCACAACTATTTAATCACAGGCACATGGATGCTCACATGCGCGTGTGCAAACACACACACACACACACACACACTTTTTTTTTCTTACCCACTTTATCCAAAGAAGGCATATTATAACTTCTGAGTTCTGCTGGTCCAGAGAGTCTACCGGAATTAGAATAAAATCTATCTTGCTTTTGTAAAGTCGGATCAGAATATGGTTGACCTAGAAAATTTTTAGGATATTTTCATTAAGGTACACATAAGTCTAGTTTACTTGTGCTTATTCTGACTTAAGCATTTCTCTGAATCCAAAAATTAAAGACAAAACCTGTGACCTATGTTTTGTCTTTGGTATTGGTAGGCACTTGTCAATAATTTGAGAAAAGTTAATTACTTTGCCTTTGTATTAAACAGCAAGCATACTTTGATGCATCAGAATTTGAAAGCTTCAATTATGGCATAGATATAAGCTAAATATATAGATAAAATGCAAAAACAAGACACCTTAGGATATGTGAAAACAGAATTCAGTTAAGTTCATTTCACCTTCAAATTAATAACAGCACCTCAAGGAAACCACATCAACATGTCAGGGAAAATGCTGAGAAGAGCCTGCCAGCAAGAAGGAAAAGCAAAGCAGGAAATCTGGCCAACAGTTAAATCTCTCACCACGGCAGAGAGTAAGCCAGAAACCTTCAGTAGCTTCAGAATTTGGGGAAGGAAAGATCCGGCTCAACAGGTGAAGCGAAGGCTCGGCTCAGATGAAGGACCGCTGCACAAACACAAGTTTGGATGCGAACTCAAAAGCAAAGGCTTCTGCAGTCACCCTCATTTAGAATAACAAAATGGGGACTCGTAATTCTTTGTGGAACTTAACAAAGTGGTGATAGTAGACTTTATGAGGTATAGCATTAACAGATCAACTCCAAAGAGGGTGAACTGTGAGGTTTCTGATGCGTATCCTGGTAGTTTTATGCAAACCTGACAAAGCTAGATAGGAAGGAACCTCAATTGAGAAAACACCTTCAAAAGATCAGGCTGAAGGCATTTCTTAATTAGTGATTAATGGGGGGGGAGCAGCCAATGGTGGATGGTGCTACCTTTGGCTGGTAGTCTTGAGTCCTATAAAAAAGCAGGCTGAGCAAGCCATGGGGAGCAAGCCAATAAGCAGCACTCCTCCATGGCCTCTGGATCAGCCCCTCTCCAGGTCCCTGAACTGCTTGAATTCCTATCCTGACTTTCTTCAGTGATGGACTACAATGTCGAAGTATAAGTCAAATAAATCCTTTCCTTAACAAGTTGCTCTTGGTCATGGTGTTTTGTTGCAGCAACAGTAACCTTACCGCCCTACTACAGACAGCAGCCAACAGTGCCAAATTGCCTTCATGGCCTCACTAGGCAGGGGTGAACTCTTGTGAACTCAGTAATGGCTGTCTCTCCTCATCTGATTTAAGCTCATGGGACTCCCCTGAACCATCTCTCCTCCACAAAGCCAAGGGAACCACCTAGATGAAACAGAGTCATGGAGAAAAGGACATCTAATGAGCTCCCAGGAGGAAGGATGTGACTAAGGAAAGTTCCAAAACTTCGGAATAGAAGGCTCATTTACACTACCTTTCAGATCTTAGCAAAGAACTGTCTCAAAGGACCAGAACTAGTCCCGTAAAGCAGAAGGCTAAGAGAAAGCCTTCTATCTAAAACAGACTGCCCCCTTTTTCTTCAGACATGGGATTAATTAAACATAAGGATGAAATGGGGAAATCATCCTTAATCAGGTCTCAAGACACCACATTAGTATTTTGCTTCTAATGTTCACCAAAATATCAGAAACTCAGAGTTTATTCTTTCACAAAACGTACACATTTTGCCCTCCACTGACAAAAAGTAAGCTGTTCCTTAGATCAAGGCCTAGCGCACGGCAGGAGCTAAGCAGTGCAATGCTGGTCTCAATACAGTGCATGCTGTCAGGGTGTAATGGCTATACAGAGATCAGTAAACACAGTGTGGCTGATTTTTTAAACATTCGTTTATTTTGTGTGTATGTGTGTGCATATGCCATGGCATAATAGAGCAGGTTCAAAAGATGGCCTTCGGGAGTCAGCTCTTCCTCCCACCATGTGGGTTCTGAAGACTGAACTTAGATTGTCAGACCTATTGGCAAGCTTCCTTTCTTCCTGAGCCATCCCACTGACCATGTGATTGGTGGTTCTGGTTTTCTTTTTGTTTGTTTATTTGTTTGTTTTTGAGAACATATCACCATTACAAGGGGCCTGGTACAACTGTCCCTTCCCTGTGAATGCCCAACAGGAGTTTATCTGAGGTGCTTTTGTGACGAGACCATTGACTATTGAATGTTCAAAAAAAAATCAGCCACATATAATTACTGATTTCTATTACCACAAGACAAGGCTGTCCACTCTCTGCATATCTAGTCAATATTGTACTTGAAGTTCTAGATAGAGCATTAAGACAATTAAAGGAGATCAAGGGAATACAAATTGGAAAAGAAAAAGTCAACGTATCACCATTTGCAGATGTTAAGATAGTATAAATAAGCGACCCCAAAAATTCTACCAGGGAATTCCTACAGCTGATTGATGTAGGTGGGCCGTGAAATGGATGGATACAAGATTAACTCAAAAGAAAAAAAAAGAATGAAAGAAAAATAAAAGAAATCAATAACCCTCCTATATACAAACAAAAAATGGGCTGAGAAAGAAATCAGGGAAATAATACCCTTCACAGTAGCCACAAATAATATAACATATCTTGGGGTAACTCTAACCAAGGAAGCGAAAGACTTGTAAGACAAGAATTTCAAGTCTTTGAAGAAACTGAAGAAGATATCAGAAGACAGAAAGATCTCCCATGCTCATGATCAGTAGGATTAATATAAAAATGGTCATCTTACTAACAGTAATTTACAGATTCAATGCAATCTTCATCAAAATCCCAACACAATTCTTTACAGACATTGAAAGAACAATACTCATTTTCACATGGAAAAGCAAAAGACTCAGGGTAGCTAAAACAATCCTGTACAGTAAAAGAATCTCCAGAGGTATCACCACCCCTGATTTCAAGCTGTACTACAGAACTATAGTAATAAACTAAGACACCAATCAAATGGGGTTGGAGAGATGGCTCAGTAGTTATGAGCACTGGCTACTCTTCCAGAGGACCTGGGTTCAATTCCCAGCACCCACATGGCAGCTCATAACTGTTTGAATTCCAGTTCAAGAGGACTGGCATCCTCACACTGACATACATGCAGGCAAAACGCCAATGCAAATAAAAATAAATCTAAAAAAAAGAGATAGAGACACACCAAGCAATGACTGGTCTAGCTTGAGACCCATGGCACAAGAGGGACCACCCCTGACACTAACTGGAGAGCCAGGATTCAGAGGCTGGATAGCCCAGAGACCTACAATAGAACCTAGGGCAGAATCAAACACAACCAGCAGGAAAAAGTCAATGAAATGATTCCTAATGATACTCTGCTGTACTCATAGACTAGAATCATCATCAGAGAGGCTTCACCCAGCAACCCATGGAAGCAGATGCAGAGACCCACAGCCAAACAGTAGGTGGAGCTCGGAAATCCTGCGAGAAGAGGGGAAGGAATGGAGGAGCCAGAAGGGTCAAGCATCACACACAAACTCACAGAATCAACTAACCAGGGGAGGGGCTCACAGAGACTGAACCAACTATCAGGAAGCCTGTATGTTCTTATGGAACTCTTAACAGTGGGAGTGGGGATGTCTCTGACTCTTTTAACTGCTTTTGGAACCCTTTTTCTCCTACTGGGTGGCCCTGACCAGATTTAATATGAGGGGAGGTGCCTAGTCTTAGTGTAATTTATATGCCCTGTTTGGTTGATATCCCTGGGAGACCTGCCCTTTTCTGAATGAAGGAGGAATGGATCTGGGGGAGAGGAGAGGTGTGAAGAGCCTGGGAGGAGAGGAAGCAGGGGAAACTGTAATTGGTATGTAATTTATGAAAGAAGTATAAATAAAAAAAGGAGTAGTTGTAATCTAAATTCAACCAGCCACAGCCAGTGTGAGAAAACCCCAGGAAAGAGCTGTGACAAGCTCGACAGCACGTGCAGCAAGAGGTTCAGCTCAGGACGGAGGTGGAGAAAATCGGCCTCTGGAGCGCACAACTTGCTGTTCATGGCTGCAGTCTGAGAACCTGAAGCTCCGGGACTGTACTTGGCATCCACAGACACATCCTCTTGTGGTGGTTTGGATAGGAATGGCCCCCAGAGACTCATATGTTTGAATGCTTGGCCATAGGGAGTGGCGCTTTTAGGATGCATGGCCTTGTTGGTGTCACGGTGGGAGGGAGCTTTGAGGTCTCCTGTGCTCAAGCTACTCCCAGTCTCCTTCTGTTGCCTGCAGATCAAGATATAGAACCAACACCCTGTGTACCTGCATGCCGCCACGCTTCCTGCCACATAAAGGATGAACTAAACCTCGGAAACTAAGCCAGCCCCAATTAAATCTTTTCCTTTATAAGAGATGGTCATGGTGTCTCTTCACAGCAATAGAAACCCCAACTAGGATATCTCTCTACAGGCAAGCCACACCTGGGAAATTTAGAAAGTAGAAGGCAGGTCCTGCACCTGTACATTCCCCTCACTCCCAAGTAGGAGACACCTGCCAGCCAGAAATATGGTCACTCCAGGGAGGATGAGCTGGGTCGTCTCAAGAAAGGTAGGAGAACCTGCTCAGGATGCAGGAGGATTGCTGAGAGTTCAAGCAGCAGTGACAAAGAATTTTAACAATTATATTTGTAAACACACACTTTTTTTTAACCCTTCAAGATACGTAATTAAATTCTGGGTAAGAAATGCTTGCTAAGATGACAATGGAAATTTTTACTGCTGTAGCTCTACATCCCTACATTGTTCAGATTTTCAAAAATAAGCATGTATTATTTGTATAAGCAGTAATAACAATTGGGAAAGATTCCTATAATGTGAACAGTCACCTCATAATACTCTTTTTTCTAAACAGTATCACAATTTTTAAAATAGAGAACACATATGGCCCTCTTTCCTTCCATCACTGTATCCCAAACACAAGATGTTTTACATTTTTGAAAAGTGACTGTTGTCTTCACACACCTGGTGGAGGGGCCATCGCCCTTCGGCCGTGTTCCCACGGAGGTGACAGGGAGCTGTCAGAAGGTGCTCTGGGGGCATCATACACCCTGTCATAGTTTGAATCTCCTCTTTCAATATTCATCTGATGGTCCAGAAAATTCTCAGGGCCTCGTGAGCCTAATTAAAGAAAACCCAGATCTGTATTATCTCAAAAAGTGTCACAAAAGACCACTGTCAAAATCAAGATGCTTTTTCAAAAGTGAATACAAATTCAAACAAAGCTTCCCTGAAATACATTTGATTATGATTCTACCAAAACCATTTCCAAGAAATGGGAAAATAATTTTGCAATGTGTATAAACAAATACTTGCTTGCAGGCTAGAAGAATAGATTAGAGATTAGAGTATTTGCTTAATTAACAGATGGCTCTGAGATCAACCCACAGCACAAAATAAATAAATATCCAACGACACTTGCTTATAAATTCATTCTTAAGGATTACCACCATCATTATTTTATAATTATATCTATAATTATAGCTAATAAATATTGAGTCTGAAAAACACGGTATAGAAGAAAGAAAACTGTAAAGACTTATACTAAGCAAAACTATAAGATAAAAGATAAGGTTTCTGTTGCTTAGGCATGATTTCTATCAGTCATCATAGAGGCTGCACTACTTATCCTGCTGCTAATCAAGTAGCTCCAGACAACAAGAATTCTATGAATGTAAAATATATAGAATTCTGTGAATGTAATAAATCTATCCAACAATGATTATATATTCTGGTAAATCCCCACATCTTTCCTCCGAATCAGTTCATGAGAGGAGGCCGGGAAGGGAGAATGCTCAGGAGTCCACTGGGCTCAGGTATCTCAAGTGAAGCCCACAGGCCTTCGTGAGAGAGTCAAAGATTCTCCTCATCACTCGCCACCAGGACCAAAGTCACAGGCAGCCCAGTGACTAGCAGGTGGACGCTGCAAACCTGAAAACAAGAACGCTCAAAGGGTTTTAAGAACTAGATGTTTACAATTCACCCAATAAAAATAAATTGCTTTCCTCATACACCATCTTATTCAAGCTTTCAAATTTCAAGATAACAAGAGGAAGGAGAAGGAGCGCTCTGCCCTTTCACCGCTCATAGGAAACTTGATCCCAATAAAGCTTTCAGATCTGTTGGTAACTTACCAAGAATTTCTGTAGCTTTTTAATAGACAGGAAACAACCTTGCAAATAATCTGAACACACTGTCACTTAAAAGCAATTAAAGAGAAGAGGAAAGTATTTAAGCAGGAAAGGAGAAAGGAAAGGTAATTTCTGTGATAATTTCAGACATTCATTGGACTACAAGCAATCCTTGACTTACGCAATTCAAATTCCAGTGAGTTAGTTTAGCCAATTAAATATTATTTCTAGGGTACTGTGTTCGGCTATGAATAGCTGCTACCCATGTGTGCTGTGCAAAATTGACTTTGTCTTAATGAACATTCTTCTCTTAATGTAATAAACTGTACAGAAAGTATCAGAAATAACAAAGCGCAATGGCAAATGCATTTATATTGGTATGTAACATGACATGACATGCATTTCTTACAAGTGTAAAAGGTGGTGGCAAGGGAATTGGCCGGTAGCACTAAGCCCAAATCTTAAGCAGACATGTAAATTTAAACACTTAACCCCTTTCTGGAGTGTTCCATACAACCCCCCTAGGACTCCGTGTCTGGCACAATTACTTTCCCTAGAAGTTTCCAGTTCAAAGCCAATACAAGCAAAGCTCTTTCTGAGGTGAACCAGGGCTGGCAGGTGTGGAAACAGTTCCGCATGGAGCAAACTGAGGACCAAGAAGATAGATAACAAGAGGAAACAGACTGAGCTGCTCCTTCACCACAGTACCTAATACTGGGCACCTGGGAACCTGATATTCTCACAAAGAACAGAATTTTAGATGATTTACAATGGCCTTAGGTTTAGCTGAAGAACACAGTTTGCCTGAAAGACTCTAGAATAAGTAGACTCAAGTGTAAAATACTGATGTTTGGTTTATCTTGCTGGGGGTTTTTTGTTGTTGTTGTTTTATTTTTAACATTTTTTTAGCTTTTATGTGCATTAATGTTTTGCCATGGGAAGTTTCAAGACCCCTGGAACTGAAATTACAGACAGCTGTGAGCCGCCATGTGAGTGCTGGGAGTTGAACCTGGGTCCTCTGGAAGAGCAGACAGCACTCTTCACGGCTGAGCCAGCCCTCCAGCCCTACTCCAGCCCTAGTTTGCTGGTTTTTTTTTTTTTGAGTCTCACTTGTTCCTGCCACATATTTAGTTTGTTACATCGCTTACATAAATGATTAGAGACAATTCATTAGCAGGTCCTGCACTTAACACAGCTACGGAAATACAGAAAGAGCAAGGTAAGTACGGGAGCAATGCAGGCAACCCCGGGATAGTCTCTCAAAGTGTCAGCAAGAGTTAGGATTCCTGAAAAGGCCCCATGCAAACTCTGCCTAGACGGGCACTCTGAGTTCCTTCATGATTAAAAAGGGGGGATAGGGGCTTTCATGTTATGATTTACTATTTTTTTAAAAAGTTACTGAACTAAATATATACATATAAAAGTATAGTCTGATCCTATTTCATCAAAATGCATTTTATGCTGGTTATACTGCTATATCTTACATATTCTTTAAAAGGTTTTATGTAGTACAATATAATTTTGAAACATAAACATTGATTCCTCATTATCCAATATAGGCTGAGTATTCCTTACTGGAAATACATGGTGCCATAAGTGTTTGTAATTTTAAATTTGTGTGTGTGCGCGTGTATGCGCTTAAAGACCTTAAGGGTTGAACATCACAAATCCAAAATCTGCAATATGAAATGCTTCAAAATTCACAACTTTTTGAGTGTTTCACCCAAAGTGTCTGCCATTCAGAGCACTCAGGATTTCTGAATTTTCAGAATTGTGATTGCCACCTGCCTTAACCTGTACACAAGAGAAAAACATATCAGAACAGTGTAATATGGAGAGTTTTTGTTTTGTTTTTGAGGCAGAATCTTACTATGCAGCTCTGAATGACCTGGAATTCACTATGCAGACCAGGCTAGCCTCAAACTCACAGAGGTCCTCCTGCTCCTGCCTCCCGACTGCTGGAATTAAAGGTGTGAGCTACCATATCTGGCCCAAGATTCTTTACCCAGTTAAAAAAATAAGTAAATCTATGATAAGTGCAAGGAATGCTTGTACTTTCCAAATGTCTATTTACAGATTATTTTAAAGGTAAGTTGAAATGCAAATGTAAAGGAAGGAAGAAATTTAGAGTAATAAAAATGTTTAAACCATATACCTCTTCCTCCTCCCCCAGGAAGTGAAGGTGAGAGTCTGAGTGGACCCTCCAACAACGTTGGAGGAGAGAGAAAAGCTCTCGTTTCAGATGAAGGTCGGCCCAATGGTGAGGGACCAAATGGGGAGTGCTCTGGAATAATTAAAACAGCAGATGTCAATGCACACAAGTGAGCTGTACCATAAAGTCAGAATCCATTCAACAGCTGTCATCGGGTCATCCTGTGTCAGCTTATGTCTTGTCTGTGCCCTCAAGACTACACAGATTTAAATAGAGAGTGTGGTGTTTTTTAAAGCTTTTCAGCAAATTAGACATTTAGTCAATTAAAATCATACTGTTGTATATATAAATACCTTGAATTCTGTCAGCTTTACACCTATATACAGTGTTCTGACTTTTTTAAGGTTTTACTTCATTTATGTGTGTCTATGTGTGGGGTATTTACAAGTAAGCAGCAATGGCCTGAAAGGCCAGAGGCATTGGATTCCCTAGAGCTGAAGATTACAGGGATCATGAGCTACTCAATATGGGTGCTAGGAACTGAACTCAGGTCCTCTGTAAGACCTTAACAGCTCTTAACAGCTGACCCATCTCTTCAGCCCTGAGAGAGTTCTGATTTTTTAAAATGTGAAGGTAGTAAGGTCTGTGTTAAATATCACTTATTTTTATCTGTGCAATGCTAAGGACAGGCTACAAGCTCTAGAAAAATTTTAAGTGGTTAAATAAGCACAAGTCAAGACATGTTGTATATAAAAACCAACCAACAAACAAAAGAACCACAAACAAAACCAAACCATTAGTTACTGTAAGTAACCACACAAGCTAAACAAAGGATGCTGGCGATGCTTAGGAGTTACTGGAAGACTTAGGGAGCATGAAGTTGGCTTCCCTTTTTTGTTTGCTCATTTTTTATGTTGCTGTTTTATTTGTTTTTTGAAACGATATCATATAGCACTAGCTAGCATGAACTGGTTATATAGACCTGACTGGTCTTTAAACTCACAACGATTAGTCTGTCCTTGACTCAGACTAGGATTAAAGGTGTCTGCCACTATGTACAGATGATGTGGGAATTTGGTGACGGCATACTTCCCGCTATTTCAACCAGGAAGGTTTATAACATGGACTTGTTTTATAAATGGGCTTGATTTAAATCACAGTCAGACAGTTCATGTTCAACCATGAAATGTTTCAGTTAAGTAACTTTTTTTTTTTTGGTTTTTTTGAAATAAAGTTTCTTTCTATATAGCCTTGGCTCTCCTGGAACTTGCTCTGTAGGCAGACTGGCCTCAAGATCCGCCTGCCTCTGCCCCCCCTGCCCCCCACCCGGTGCTGGGATTAAAGGTGTGAGCTACCACTGCCCAGCTAAAAGTCAGATTTTGAAAAGGAAGTAAGTAGATAAAATACTCTGAAGAATTAGAAATTACTTTTAAATTTTACAAGTTAAAGATATTATCACGCATCCAATAATTTGTATGTAATCCAGATAACCAAGAGCCCTGCCATTTTACAAACATAATCGTTCTCCAATTGTGACTACACTTCCAGAGGTAAAAATTCAGCAACAAAAAAGAACTTAAACACCAGGGAATTCACACTTGAGTAAGTCTTATAAAGTGTGTACCTGTTACACCCAAATGGTTTACAAAAAGATTAAAGCATGGTTTACCCTCCCACAGAATCCTGAATTGAATTTAAACAAAAATTCTGCTTGTACACTTGGCACACTTCAAGTTTTGCTACTACTTGATTGAAGTCAATGATCTGATATTTTAAAATGTAAGACACATTTACATTTAATGAAAGTTGACTCTCAAAAATGATTTGCTGAATTCCAAAGGTTATTAAAAATAGATTCTACCTACCAAGACTTCATTTCATAACTATAGGACCTTAATTCCACTTCAACTAAAATCACTCTGAAAATGCTTAGCTGTTTGGACAACATTAAAATGCTCAGTCATGAGTCTGCAGAGGGCTAACAGCACCGTTGAGGGCTAACCTCCCTGGGATGATTAGAATCATCAGCTGTGAACTACATCTGTCCTAACTAAGAATTTTTTGAGTAGCTATGTTAATTCTCACTTTATTCAAGCAAATTTCAAAGTATTGTTAATATGTAAATAGTCACTGCTATTCCACTTAAGTACTTCTCATTCACTGTCCCGGAATCAGCTAACGGTACCTTCTTAAGAGCATTGGGCTGTTCAAGGAGTTGACAGCACTAAACACCTGCCATGACATTTCAATGAGAAAAGGAGATACCAGTCATTTTCATTACTGCTAGAAAAACAAAACCCAGAAACCCAAGCCCAGAGTTAATGAAACAGTTTCAAATAGAATCTTCACTACAAAATCCAAAATATCATAGGTGAAAATGTTAACTTACACTAAAGTAAACTATATACATAATATACATGGATATACAATATGTATTTTAAACAAGGGTTAAAAAAAAAAGACTACCTCTGCCAAATGCTGTATTTGGAACATCAAGTGCATAAGGATCTTTTTCTAAAAGTTCAAGTTTAAATTCTGTCTCAGTTAATCTGCAAACAAAGAACAAACATCACTACATTACTCACCCAAAGGAAACACCACATTTTAAGCAAAGACCACTTCCAAAGCAGCTCCTCTCACAAGCTCTACAACACTAAAGAGAGAAAGGCCTACCACTGGTCTGCCTTTCCTCGGTTCCCACACTTCCTGAGGTACTGATGTTTAAAACTGCGTGCCTCTAAATCAAGACTTTAATGGGTGCTGTCCCTCCGAGTCCACATTTCTGAAGTAGAACAGCCAAAATAAACTAGTGCACGTGTCACTTTATAACTACGGAAACTGAGGCAGGGACTTTGACTGCTGGATGAAAAGGCCAGGCTACAGCATAGAACTGCTCTGGGTTACCTACACTTCCCCTTGTAAAACTGGAAATCCCATTAGCTGATATGACTACCTTATTTCTAAACTTTGTATCTTTAAATGTTACATTTTTAAACAAAGGTTATTTAGTTCCTGATTCTTAGACTTGAAATAAAACAACTGTCTGACTTCAATTTCTGAGCTTCGAATTGGAAGACAGAAACCGGCTTTTAATGATGCTAAAAGCAGAGTTTGGCAAGCAAGTGTTAACACTCTACGAGACTGCAATCACCACACATAAAAGCATTTACTCTTCCCTTTTATTGTACAATTTTATTCTTTCTTTCACCTTACTACTGCACAGCAACACCCAACAACAAACCTGGGCTGAGACAGTAAACACTTTTTCTACCTAGTGATGCAGAACACAGATACTCTAAGCATCATTGTGTCAGAAAGAAAGCCTTTCTTTTGCCCACGTTTTTTTTCTCCACTCATACTGGTTTAAATTTTTTAAAGTGACACTTTTTACAGTGTAACTTATAAAAGCTTCTTTAAGGAGTCCCTGTAGTAGCCTAAGGTATTTCAAACAAACAAAAAAACAAAAAACTTCAAACCTGCTAAAACCAACAATATTTCATAACAGATTATGTGGATTTACTACAAACCTTTTCAAATTTAACCTTATACAAGCATTACATAATGAAGAAATTCTTTGAAACTTTTAATGAATACTTACTTTTGTCTATTGTAAGCATTTTCTTTCCTTAAATCATTGAGATTTCTTTCAAAAGTTCGAGCTGCCAGCTTGAAGAAAATAATACATTTTGAAACTATATCTATATAGTTAGACTTAAAGACCAGAGCAACACAAATATCAGCATGACAGCATGCAATACCACAACTAAAAACAGACATGAGTCGATATAAAACACTTTAAATTGAGAGAATTATTCAAAAAGGGAATGAACATAAAGCTGGAGGTTAACTGGCACTTGCTAATGTAGGTTGCTACTAAAATGCAAAGTCCGGGCCTAAAATTATTTGGTGATGTAAATATTCAATCCTATGAAGCATGAGGGCAGTCAATGGAAATGGATGGTCATTATGCCCAGAATTCTGGGAAACTACAAATGTCTAAAACAGCTTCACAGGATGCCAGTATAGTTCATATTTTTAATAACTAAATACAGTAAATGAATCTTGCACATCTATTAAGTATAAAACAATGTACAAAGACTAAGTAGTTTTGATGTTTATGCACGCGTGTGAGTGCAAGTGTTTGTGGTGTGTGTGTATTTGTTAGGAGTGTGAGCACCACGCCCAGCTTAATTATAATAAATACCAAGAACATGCAATATTCCCAAATAATCATTAACAAAGGCAAAACATATGGTGCTGTACATGCTTCCCAGCCACTCTGTGGACTACACAGATTAGATGCAGCATATATGAAACATTAACTAGATCAAATGCAGGAAGTGAGCTTACCATACACAGGTAGACAAAGACTAACATTCTACAACCATTTACAAATAAAGGAACTCAACTTTCAAATTTGCTTTCACTTAAAACTGTGAAACACACATGAGAATTGACTTTAGCCAATGAATAAAACTCAACATTCACAGAAAACATAGCCTAAATATATTTTAGTACTATCAAAAAAGATATTTTTTGCCCAGGCAGTGGTGGTGCATGCCTTTACTCCCAGCACTCAGGAGGCAGAAGCAGATGGATCTATCTCTGACTATTTGTAACATGATTTCATCACTGATAAAATTAATAAAATTAATAAAGTGATTATTTTTTAAATACTACCTATAATTTTTATCTAATCTACAGTAAGTAGTATATTTCCTGAAAGGAATTTGACAAAAGGGCTTTAGGAGAACTTAAAACTTACCCAATTATCATGTGCTTTCTTCTCATGAGAAATAACCTAAAAAAATACAATTATTAAAATTATTCTTAAATAAAAACATTCATTCCCATCACTAATATTTAGGGCACAAACCATAAACTCAAACTGCTCAGGAATCTCTGAAGCAGAACAAGCATTTTGAAAGCATACTCTCATGTATACGTATGCTCTGCTCTACTCAACGGTTAAACAAAAACTGAATGGAAATTTCTTTAATGCCAACAAACTTCATGTGATGATCAACTATGAGAGTTTGCAAGGAACAGAAAACAAGCACAACATGGGACTGCAGTGGTGACAGGCATTATCTGGGCTACGTAATCCTCATTCCCAAAGAGAGAAAAGTCTCAGAATTCTTTGATTTCAGCATCTTTGGTTCCCTGGGAATCTTTCTCAGGTTTATGAAACATCTCAGAAGGGATGGAAGCTACAGTCCTGCAGCCACTCTAGAGTCAGAGTGCTCTCACTGTGTGCACGACGGGCACACGTACCTGTCCTTGAAGAGAATGGACCGTTTTCTCCATTTCTTCTTCGAGATCCTTGGCGCGCTGTCTATAAGGAACAAGTAGTAACATATAAGGAATGAGAGCACATAACTATAAAATACAGAGTGTTCTACCTTAAGTATAACCCCGAGACTCATCTGTCGACGCTGACAGATTTTAAAGAGCATCTTTCCCTCCCCTAATTCTAACTTCAGCTAACCCTTGTGAGCACTACTGCTTGAATGGGGCTCAAACAGCATCACTTATATGCTTATATGATCTTAAGCATATGATCTTAAGCTTATATGATCATGAGGACTTATATGATCCTCAAGGCTTCATCCAGCCTGGCCTTGACCCCAGTTATAATCTTCCTATCTCTGCTTCCTAAGTGAAGGAGTCACTGGCAACGCCTGATCCTCAGGTTTTCATTTTCAGGACAAGGAATCCTGGAAGATTAACTCAGGTCCTGTAATCCTGACAGAGTCCCAGGGAAGAAACTCTTTTTCTTTTTTTTGTTTTTTTTTTTTGTTTGTTTGTTTGGTTTTTTGTTTTTCAAGACAGAGTTTCTTTGCATAGTCCTGGCTATCCTGGAACCCGTTCTGTAGACCAGGCTGGCCTCAAACTCACAGAGAGTTGGGAGGCCAAGTGCTGGGATAAAGGAGTGTGACACCACCGCCTGGCACAGGAGAGCCACTCTAAAAAGTGAAAACATAACTAACTGCCTTTATGAGACAAAAAAAGCAATTCTTCCTTTTAGACAAAATGCAAGTTTACTCTTCCCTAGGTAAGGAGATGCTCTATGACAAACTGCTGCAGTGTGCTTCTTTTTAACAGACATTCTAGTGCCTCCCTATATCCACTGAGGACTGGATGCAGGATGCCCCTCTGTATGCTGTGAATATGTTTTATTACCATTAGTTAATAAAGAAGCTGCTTTGGCCTATGGCAGGGCAGAATATAGATAGGCAAGAAAACTAAACTGAATGCAGGGAGAAAGAAGGTGGAGTCAGGGAGACGCCATGTAGCTGCTGAAGGAGAAAGACTAGAACATTAATGGTAAACCACAACTCTCATGGTAAAATACAAATTAGAAATGGGTTAACTTAAGATGTAAGAGCTAGCTAGGAATATGCAGCTGGCTAAACAGTGTTATAATTAATATAATTTCTGCATGAATATTCAGGTCTGGGCAGCTTGGAAATGAACGTGGTCTCTATTTACAGAATGAACCAAAAACCATAGCTAAGCATTTACTAAAATGCTAAGTGTGCCTTGTTTACTTAGTGGCACACTTACTGAATGTTAATAGTGTGTTCATTCTTCCCCATTTGAACAAAGCCCAATGAATAAGCTTTAATTAAACTGGTCTCTCCATTTCCTTCTTTGAGACAGGGTCTCATGTAGCCCAAGGTGGCTTCAAACTCACTCTTACCCAAGGTTGGGCCTGATCTTGTGATCATTCTGTTCCACCTCCCAGTGCTACCACATAGCACTCATATTTACAAACTTCTTAACATTAACATAAAATATGTCTATCTTTTAAATATATATTTAAAGTATATATACATATACATGTATATATATAGTCCCTGAAAAGAAAACCTTTTCCTTTTTATATTTTCTGAATATCTGCAAAATACCAAGAAATTCAAATGCAAAGTAATGAAATAAAAATAAGCCAATCCACTGGGTGGTGGAGGCACACACCTTCAGTTCCAACACACAGGAGGCAAAGGCAGGTGAATCTCTTGAGTTCAAGGCCAGCCTGGTTTACAGAGTGAGTTCCAGGTAATTCAGGGATACAGAAAGAAACCTTGTCTCAAAACAAACACAGAAACAAATGCCATTTTGTTACTGTTTCCTGCTGCTGAGCATCCCACAAGAGAGAGAACTCCATACCTGTAGGTCTCCAGCTCCTGGGTCGCATGGCTGATCCTCTCATCTACTTTGGAAAGTTTTTCCTCTTTCTCTAATCGGTAATTTTCCTCTACTGTCAATTTCCTTAAAACAAAAAGTATTTTATTCCTCTTAAAGTATATAATAACTATAATCAACTACACTTTTAAAAACACATCAGAACTGGTGCATCCCACAAAGCAATTTGCACACACCGCTGCACAGGCAGAGGGTAAAATGCCAACAGATTAAAGGTTCAGAAAGTCAAGAAGCTTTGATGGTGAGACAAATATGGGACGCACAAGAGGCATTTGATGATGATGAGCAGCTGCCCTGTCGTTTCCTATCTAGAACAAGGAGCACTGAGCAAGACTAACTTGGAGAAGAGAAAGGAATCAGTTTTACATACGCCAGGCAGTTCCATCCAAAGAGATCACTCAGATTCCCTGACCCAGCTTGTCAGCATTAGTTTAAGGCGTTAATTTGATAAATGCTTAGAAGACATTAAAGAATTTGCGAGACAGCTTGGAAACTCCAACATCATTTACATTTTCTTCCAGGAAGAAAAACAGGCTTCAAGATGAAAGAACATTCTTAAAAGTGAATGATGCAATCGAATTGATAAGGTCCAATGATTCCATGTTTAAGGTCCTGAACATGCAACAGACTGTAAGGCCACTTCCCGTGCCGTCTGATGGAGTCACTGAGCACGTCTCACCTGTGAAGCTTCATCTCGTTTTCTTGGTACAGTTCAGTCATCACTTTGAGTTTCTGCTGCAGCTTCTGCTTCTCGTTTTCCAACTGCATGCGTTCTGACTCCAGAGATACATTCTCAGACTCCAGACTTCTGACACGCTCTAGAGAAATGTTTGAAGTCAAAAAGGTACAAAACTAAAGGAATTTTCATAAAAATAAAACCTATTAAAGACAGACAAGATAGGACATGCCCGAGGTGATACAACTGTAGACAATTACTACAGATATAGCAAACTAAACTTTCTCCAGCAACAACAGAAAACCTGTGACATATTGTTTGCCTAATTGCTTTTCACTATTTTAACTGAGATGCTACATACGCTATTTTAAATTGTTAATATTATTAAATGAGGATCTCCTAAACCTTCAACAAACTAATGCTAGCATCTAATTTCCAACCTTAGAGGTAACAGCACTGAAGGAAGGCTATGGAGGATGAGTTTCAAAGGCAGGTATTTCAACTCAGCATTCGCTATTTCACATGCTAAATGTCTTACAACCTAATGAGAAGTCATCTTGGGAACTTGATGTTCAGACTGGTGGACAGAGCCCAGAGGCAGAGCACTCGCTGGAACACACCAAGTCCTGGGTTCAGTCTCCAGTACCACAGCAACCCAGTCTTCTGTTAAAGCAGAAACCTTTACGTTGTCACTCAAGCTGGCGGATAACAGATGCTCATCTTCTAGCTCAGTGAGACAATGTCTCAAACAAGATTGAGACTGGAAAGAATAATGACTTTAACTTTATTTCAACTGCTCAACTACTTAATCACCCACAAAACTGGGGAGATGGCTCAGTCAGTAAGGCACTGGCCATACAAACATGAGGTCCTGAGTTCGGGTCCCCAGCACCCACATAAAATACAGGTAACAAAACAAATGTAAGCCCTGTTACAGTGCTGAGAAAGCAAAAGTAGAATTTCTGGGACTCCTGGGCAGCTGTTCTAGCCAAAGCAACATGCTCCAGGTTTTGTGAGACCCTTTCTCAACCAACAAGGTGAAAAGCAACTGAAGAAAACCCTGAACACAGATGAACACACACACATACAAGTGGAAATGAACAATTCTAAGTAATTGTGAATTCTGTATAAACCAGCACACCACTGTTTTTTAAAATCTCATTTCTCTTTCATTATAATTACTATAACACTAAACAGCGCTAATATTAAGGAACCAAGAAGGGAACCTCAACTCTGACCTCCTCTAAAGCACCCCAAAACATACGTGAGTCAATCTAACATAGGACAAGATGCACTAGGAAATCATAACCAACATGGAAAAGTTTAGTAATTATATGTAATGGTATGCAATTATTCTAAAATGCCAGTTAACTAAACATACATATCCAAAGAACAGTGTGAAAATACATTAACAGTAATGGTACATGTGCATGAAATCATGCATAGGTGTTTTCTGCAGAACTGTGCATCAGAAAAAAAAATTGTCCGTCTGTGCTGTCACCTAGCAGAGAAACCAGTGCTGGCTATAAGAAGCTCTGCTGCAACTGAATGATACCTAATACAAAGAAGCCTTACAAACGTGAGTTCTATAATCTGAATACACTCTAGTTCTCACCTTACTTTATTTTACTTTACAACTTTTCAAAATGTGTGTGTGTGTGTGTGTGCACACTCATGAGCCTGCATGCTCAGGCAGGCAAAGGCCAGAGCACAACTACCAGGGGTCAGTTCTCTCCTTCCACTGGGGAGTGAATTTCCGTCATCAGCCACTATTGAAAATCAATTTCTCAATTGAAAAAACAACTGTAAAGAAAATTTTAAGTTCGATACTTTTTAACATCTAAAACTATACCAAACTACTGCACGGTGGTTTGAATGAAAATGGCACCATAGGCTCGTAGGGAGCAGCACTATTATGAGGAAGCTGTCACTGAGGGTCTCTTCCTGCTGCCTGCAGTTCTAGATGTAGAACTCCTGGCTCTTTCTCCAGCACCATGTCTGCCTCTGTGTCACTATAATGACAATGAACAACTCTAAAATTGATCTTGGAACAAGTATGGTCTACTACTTTAAATTATGTATATAGTTTATTTACTGGCACTAAAACTTTGAACCGTAAGTCAGCCCCAATTAAATGTTTTCCTTCTAAGAGCTGCCATGGTCGTGGTGTCTCTTCACTGCACAGGAACTCTAACTCAGATGTACCATAATCCACAGTCCTACACGCTTTAAAAACTATTTCATAAACGTAAGAGAAATGGAAATGCCTTTGCCAACAACAGCAAAACTCTCAGAATTAATTCATTCTCTTTAAGGAGAAAAGCCATTGAGAAAACCTTACCTGTAAGATTCATTTTTATTTTATCTACTTCAGATATTTGAGTGTAAATTTGGTTTCTTTCTCCTTCTAAGGCTTTTAAAGATGCACTCAACTTTAAAGAAAGATGAAAAAAGCAATAATCAGCTACAAAAGATACACACATCTCCCAATCCGTCCCACAATGCACTGCAGCTATTTTCTCTCTGATGATGTCAAACATACAGCCATTAGTGCAGTGCTAAAGCAGCCTTCACACTACATTATCAGGCCTTCTCACTCAGGTTAGCTAAAAACAGGGAGAAGCAATAAACCAGAAGAAAGCAGACCTATTATTTACTTCTCAAAATAGAATATGGAGCCATTGGGGTAAGAAAATAATAAAACCTGAAGGAAAACACTGCACAGAGGAACTATGAGATAAATACGTTAACATTTTAAAGCATCTGTAACTGAAGGAATGAGTGCAGAACTTGAACTTTTCCAAATTCTATAATTATGTGAATTTCTAAAGTTAACAGAAAAAAAGCAATTGATAAAGAAACCTCTAGGGGTTGGAGAGACAGTTCAGTGGTTAAGGGTACTGGTTACTCTTCCAGAAAAGCCGGGTTCAATTCCCAGCACCCACATGGCAGCTCACAACTGTCTGTAACTCCAGTTTCAGAGAATATGACACCCTCACACATACATGCTGGCAAAACACCAATGCAGATAAAATAAATTAATCTAAAAAACAGAAAATTCTAATCATTTCTCATATAACCTTATAAGGAAGCAATAAAAGCAATGTTTAACTTAGTTACTAAGGACAGACAGATTTAACCCCTGCTGTAGGTCCTCCCCATCATCTTTATATTTACAAAATAATACAAACCTTACTAGCATAAATCAACTCCTCCAAAGCTCCCTTCAGCTGAATACCTACAGCAAAAAATAAAACTATAATTATTGAGGACATCCAAATGAATGTATTAGTTCCTCAGCTAGTCTTACAACCCCACTTCTTGCTACAATGAACAAGTTGGAGCTGAGCTTAGCACCTCTTGCCTTCAATCCCAATACTCCAAAGCTAGACAAAGGGATTACCATGAGTTTGAGGCCAGACGGGAGCTATACAGTGAATTTTGAGCCAGCTTTGAGCTATGGTGAGATACTGTCTCACAAAAACAGTAATCAAAATAAATATAATAATTTGTATAAGGTAGAGTGACCTCCTCTCAGGAAACTAAACATTAAAAACAATCAAAGTACTACAGAGTCCCAACAAGAACTGAATAGTCGTACCTAAACACTGGCCACAGACTCAACTATGTTAGATGTTTACGGCATTACAGCATCCAAACTAGTAGTGAACCATGGCTCAAAATTAAGCATAAATTCTAAAAAAAAAAAAACAAACTATTTCTTATATGATAAAGTAAAAATAAAAAACTAAAAATATAACAGTTCCTGTTATCTGTTTCAGGAGCAGTTTGTCCATCTGCCCGAATGCCAAGCACTCCCACCACCTCATACAGCTGGACTCTCCAGTAGATCTTTCTTCACCTCTTCAGAGTTGTAGCCTCCTTCTTCTTTGTCCCATGTATCCTACATCTCTTCATCACAACTTTAAAACACACAATTCCTGAGTTCTATATTGCCTGTGATCCTGATGGCAGGAGGCCATCTCCCACTGTCCTGCTGCCTGCCGGAGATGCGACCCACCCTCAATCTGTTCACTACTCATTACTCAGCCATCTCAGACAATCTGTTCCAGCGCTGGGAGAGAAAGCAACTACTCCCATCACTTCCCAACAGTATACTGCAATACGTATCCTATTTTATTACTGATTCTCTAAGTCTCTTACTGTGGCTAAGAAATAAACTTCTAAAAGTCCATGAGAATAGGAGAGAGCACAGTACACAGAGTGGTTCACTCAGCACTACCTACAGTTTTAGGTCCCCACTAGACAACTTGAAAACTATGTCTGTGAGTTGAGAAGTCTACTCATCATACAACAGGTCAGGGAGTCAAGACAGAGGACACAAAGTTCAAAGAATCACCATTGCAGGTGGGCAGTGGTAGCACATACTTTTAATGGCACTTGGGAAGCAAAGGCAGGCAGACCTTTGAATTCGAGGCCAGTAGGATCTATAGAGGAAGTTCAAGGCCAGAATGGTGTACAGAGTGAGTTCTGGGAAAGCCAAGACTATACAGAAAAACCCTATCTTGAAAAATAAAATACAAAACAAGCAAACAAAGGAATCACCACTGAAATTAATTAAGCCTAGGGTACATGGGACCTTCTGGGATTATTTTTAATTTTTTTAATTGTATTCTGCACTCTTTTCAAATTAAATTTTAATGAGTCAAAGGAATTGGTTTGAAAATACAGTAAATAGCTAAATGAACCTTAGTTTTATGACTGCCACAATATAACCAGCAACTGCAGTCACAATTTGTGGCCAAGATTAACATACTATAATCTGTCTAAAGCAAAGGCTTTCTGAATTACAGCTATTCTGACATCCATGTGACTAGCAATAAAGATAGGCACCAGAGTGGTTATGATCCAAGTCTTTAAGTGTTGTAATGAAGAGATGTATGACACATGGGACAAAGGAGGTGAAGAAAGATCTACTGGAGAGTGCACAGCATTTCGGGCAGATGGACAGAATGTGCCAAGTACAAGTGTACGAGGAGCATGGCTCACACGTGGAATGAAGAGGACGCAAGGAGCCAGCCACCATACCTGAGTGCACAGCATTTTCTAGGTCTTTCTTCACTTCCAAACCGAGATTACCATCTTCTGCTGCGTCTTCTCCAAGGACAGCAGTCCAGACTTTCATCTTTACCAGGTTGTCCATCAGTGACTGACATTGAGCAAAAGGGGAAAACAGAAAGAAAGTAGTGACTGGCGCTGATAACTTTAGAATTCAGAACTTAGCAGTAGTTTCTAATGCAGTCCCAGGCCAACGAGGGTTCGGCAGGTAAAGGTATCTGCCATTAAACCTGATGACCTCAGTTTGAACTCCAGGACCCACATGGTAGACAGAGAACTGCCTCCCAAAAGCGGTCCTCTGAGCTCCATACACACATCATGGCATGCACATACCCCACACATACATACACAAATGAGTTTTAAAATAGAATAAAGAAATTTTAAATCAATCCACATAAATTTCTCATGTGTTCTAATTTGCTACCTGCCATTAAGGTATGTAAATAGTCGTTTGTGAAACTGCAACATTAATTTACTATTAAACATTAAAAAATAAAAAGCAAAACTTGCTGAGCATAGTACAGCATCTTTAATCCCAGGACTCAAAAGGCAGAGCAGGCAGATCTCTGTGCCATCCTACTCTACAAAGTGAGTGCCTTTCATCCAAAAGAGGAGGGAGGGGGGGGGGAGGGGGAGGGGAAGAATCCTGAAGTTTAGAAGGAAGGAAGTTCAGAGGAAGGAAAGGACAGCGTCCCTAAGCACCCAGAACACTGGCTCCAGGGCGCCACCACCACTGCAAGGATACAGACTGCATGGGTGTTCGAGTCCGTTTACAGAAGATAACAGTATTTGCATATGACCTATATGCATCTTCCTGTGTACACCAAATTGCTCTTAGATTACTTGTAATAATATAACACGAATGCTACATTAACAGTTGCTATATCATTCTGTATCTTTTAGAGAATGATGGGAAAAGTTTGCACATGAACATAACAGTCGCAATTACTCTTCTTTTGTTTACTATTAGTGTTTGTTTTGATGTGCCTGCGTAGGGGCAACCACATGAAGATCAGAGGACAATGAAGTCAGTTGGTTTTCTCCTTTACTTTTATGTGGTTCTGGGGATCAAACTCTGGTCATTAGTTTATGATGCAGGCATTTTTACTCAATAAACCCTCTCATCAGCCCAAAATTGTTAAGAGCACCATTCTGTGACTGGTTGAACTCAGAGAGCTAGAAAAGGCAGATAGAGAGTCCACGATATGGCAAACTGAATAAAATTAAAGCTAGAATCTCTTAAAAACATTTCTTATTATTTCATTTCATTTATTTATTTAGGTGGGAAGCAACATATGTGCTGAGGCATGTGCACGAAGGTCAGGACAACTCATGAGAGTCAATTCTCTCCCTCTACAATGTGAGTCCTAAGGACCAAATGAACTCGGAGTCAGAGGAGGGCACAGCAAGTCCTTTCACCCACTGAGTACTCTCAGCGATCCACGTAATGTCAGGAATTTTATTCCTACAATTGGAGTCAAGTTCCAGTCAAGTGTGTGTGTGTGACCCGAGAGCCACTTGTATGGGTTCAGGTACACATGCCACAACAAACCTACAGAGGTCAGAAGACAACCTTTGGGGGTCAGTTCATTCCGTTTCACCTGGCTTGAGACAGGTCTCTTGCCACTATGTAAGCCAGACTAGCTGGCCCTCAAGCCCCGGCAGTGTCCAGCTTCTTCCTCCACCTCTACTACAGGGCACTGGCACAGTGTCTACACTGGCACAGTGTCTACACTATGCTATATATCCAGCTTCTAGGATTCTGGGATCTGAACTCACATCATCAGGCTTATGAAACTCGTGACTTATCCAGTGATGTCACCACCCCATCCTGAGTTTCAATTTTTTAAAAAGCTTTTTTATCAACAAAATAAGGAACACAAACTTAGTAGAGATAGTGAGAATATTCAGTCAATACATATAAACTACAAACAATTTTTCAGCGTTTTCTTAACCAACAGTAGCAGATGTCAGCAAGAAGAGGTAAAAATCATTTTCTGTTTTAATTTCTTGATAAATACCAGGCTAAAATCCCGGAGGAGAAAGACATGGGAGTGTTAGCACACATATTTGTGAATCTTCAAGAATGGATGTGACAAAAGACACAACAGCAATAAAAGCTTTAACAGCATTTGAATTTCCATTAAGTATAAAACTGTGGCCAAGTAGCCACTAACACCAAAGAAAAGAGCCAGTACCTTGATCTGATTTTCTTTTTCATTTAGAACTTGCTCTTCCTGCACTTTGGATTCTTCAAACGTTACTTTCTGGTTATCAAGTTCATTCATTTGTTCTCTCACTGCTTCGGCCTCCTGTGACAGCTGGTATGAAAACAGTAACAAGGATGTGAAAGATAGCACAATGTTTAGATACATTTATTTAAATGTTTAGATGTATCATTAAATGATAGTACGAAGGTAGGGCTGCTACTTAGAAAGGAAGTCAGATGTGGCTCTCTTTTGTAAAGAACTTTTAAAACAGGAGACTGTGGAGTAACAAATATTTTCCAACTGATTTAAAAGGTCATTTTTTTTTATCAAGTACAAAGTTTCTGACACACGCTTATCTGAAAGTCTATCTTTGTATGCCATATAATATGCCAGAGCTCACTCACCTTAATGATACAGTTTTAGTTACCATGCTGTTTTACTCAGGGTTATCTGAAGATAGGTAACCCCCAAGAATACTATTAATCTGGAACAGATATTTTACAGATAACCCCAGCCTGAACTGCACTGTGAGTTCCAGTCTAGCCTGGGCTACATGGAGGAGAGGTACTTTTGATTATAGCATGAGAAATTTACAATAGGCATTGTCACTATCACATTCTCTGAAATATAAGATGGCATAACAAAAATGTAAAAGGAAAAGGCATCAACCCCCCCCCAAAAAGGAAAGAGAAATGAGGAAAAGAAAATTAGAGATGAGACACAATTGTGTCTACTGTCCACAAACAATAGACTGAAGAAACCTAAGCAAGTTGGAAAGTAGAAAATAAGATGATTTGACACAATCCAGAAAGGCTCAAGATTTGAAAGCAGTAATAACAGCGATAAGTAGAAACCAAACAGAAGAACTGGGGCCTGGAGAACTAGTGAGTAATAAGAGCACTCATGCTCGATTCCCTGCACCTGCACCTGCACCTGCGCAGTTCACAGCTGCCTCGAATCCCAGAGGGTCTAATGTCCTCTTCTTGCTGTCATGGCTGCCTGTACACATATGCACATACCAACACATAGGAACACACACATACATGGCTCCTGTCCCTCTCCCTCCCTCCTTGCTCCTGTCTTCTAACCATGCAACACTCATTTTAGTTCTGCCTCTCCTCTCATCTCTGTTTCTTTACATACATACATCCCGTTGGATGTCCATCCCTGCTGGCTAGCTTCAATAGTGCTGGAAGGTGCTGTGCATGCTGCCAGGGGAAAAAAGGAATCATCAATGTCACCAACCTGTGAGCCACGCAAGCTACAATAACAACCTGCCTGACAAGATATGTCTACTGGTGTAGTAGTGGCAGAAATGTTATGAGGAACCAACTACTTTCTAGTTGAAAGTAGTTCAATCAGTTGAGGCCAGCTCAACAGGATGGAACCCAGCACAGCACAGTAACACACACCTTTCATCTCAGTGCTCAGGAGGCAGAGGCAGGGGGAACTCTGTGATTTCAAGGCCAGTCTGATCTGCATAGGGAGTTCCAGGATAGCCAAAGTTACATAGAGAGACTTTGTCTCACAAAAAAAAAATTTAAAAAAAAAGAAAAGAAAAAGAAAGAAAGAATCCATTCCTGACAATGTTAAGGAGTCCTCTGGTCTACACACAGTTACACATATGTATCCACATGCACACATCAACACAATCTCACGCACATCCACAAATCAATAAATGAAAAATTTAAATTATCACAATAAATACATAAAATAATTCTAGTAACCCACAGAATCAAGAGTTGTTTCTAGAATGAGTGTCCAACAAATGAAAGAAACACAGTGTGGCACCTCATCATGTCATCTCACAACGCTGAAGACAACAGAAAGATTAACAGCGTGTGAGGAAGCCACACAGCACCAAAGGAGGAAAGAGAAGACAATGCAGCAACGTCAAGAATTTAATTTAAAAAATGCAGCACAGCAGACAGACCTCCGGGTTTGAGGCCAGCGGGGGCTACACTGTTGAGTTCAGAACAGCCAGGACTGCTACACAGACGAACCCTGTCTCAAGAAACAAGCAAACAAAAATGTGGAACAAACGAGTATCTAGATAGCAGAAGCATGAAAGAGGATGGGGAGCTGGAGCAACTGCCCAGTGGTTAATACACGCAGTTTCTCCAAGGTCCTGACTTCAGCCCAATACCCCATCAAGCTGGTCGCAGTCACCTACAACTCCAGCTCCAGAGGATCCGACACCCTCTCCTGGCCTGAGGCCACCTTAATCACGACCACAAATGCACACAAATACAGACACATAATTAAAATAACAAATTTTTTAAAAAATCTTTTTTCAAACATGAAAAACAACAAGCATTTTCAGCTATGCAACCTCCTTTTAAAATTACCTCCTGTACCTCATTATCAAAAAGTTAATCAAAATAATTAACCACAAAAGAACAGGTGTTTGATACAGGAAATAGCATGCTTAAGATGAGAAAACCAGAATCCTTGGCAGCTGAGTGAAATGAAGCCTCAGGACCAGAAGCCCAGCAGAAATATGGTACATATTCTTTTCTTCCTTTCTCTTTCCCCCTTTTTTCCCCCTTGTTTTTTTGAGACAGGGTTTCTCTGTGTAGTCCTGGCTGGCCTGGACCTCACTCTGTAGACCAGGCTGGCCTCAAATTCTCAAAGATCTGCGTGAGAGCTGGGATCAGATCAAAGGCGTACACCACCATTGCCCCACAGAACGCATTCTTATTGCACCAAGAGAATCTAAGTTCCCAAGAAAAATGGCTCCCAGAAGAAAACGAAGGGAAGGGAGACGGCTCGGTGTTTAAGAGTGCCTACTCTTCTTGTGCAGGACTTGAGTTTGGTTCCCTTTACACTTCTCAGTGGGCTTATAACTGCCTGAAATTCGAGGTCTGTGGGAGGTCTGATACCTCCGGCCTCTAAAGGCACCTGCACATGTATGCACACATTCACACCCAAAACACACACACACACATAATTAAAAATAATAAAAATAGAAGAGAAGGAAGAGAAAGAGGTGGCAGCAGGCATAGTGACAGATATCTATATTCCCAGGAGTTAGGAGACTGAGTACCACAGAGTGCCTTCCAGGCCACCCTGACTACACTAGAAGACTTTCTCCAAAAATATAAATAAGATAATAATAATACTAGAATCTTAAATGAACAAATTAGCCAAACCAGGCAGTGGTGACACACATCTTTAATCCCAGTAAAGCATGTGCTAGTTTGCCATAAAAACTGGAGGTAGTGATACACACCTTTAATCCCAGCACTAGAGAGGAACATAAAACAGGAGGAGACAGGTCTCACACACAGTCTCATTCTGAGATTCCTGAAGGCAGAATAACCATTTCAGACTGAGGTAGAAGTAAGAGCCAGTAGCTGACTGTTTTGCTTTTCTGACCTTCAGGTTGAACCCAAATTTCTGTCTCTGGGTTTTTATTAATCATGCTACAAAGACTACCTATGCGGCCATACACAATGGAAAAATGACAGTCTTGTCTCAAACAGTGAAGGTAAGGACCAACACCAAGCCATGAACTGTGCACATTTGAACTCTCACACAAAACACACACACGTGTGTGTCTGCACACACACCTCAATATGCACACTGTGGAAAGGAAGGAAGGGAGAGAGGGAGCAAGGGAGGGAACAGAAGACAGGGAAGAGGCTGAGAGGGAAAAGGGCTGGGAAGAGAGAGAGGAGGAAACAGGGCAGGAAGACAGAATTTTCATGCCAAAAATTGTATTGGGAGACAAAAGGGAAGTCATGCACATGCAGGTGCCTATGTGAGGAGGATGAGAATGAAAGCTACATTTCCATCTTCCGTGCCCCCAGAACGCCTTCCTCCTCTGGACCCCCGACCGGAATGCATTCTCAGCTGTGAGGAGTGGTGCTAGCCGCTGCCTCCTGTGAACGTCAGAAGGCTGACTGCCTTGGCTTATCTCTCTTAGCCGCTCAGGAGACAGAAGTACGCAGGGGGCTGCTGCTCTCAAAAGCCTGCTCATTCATCGCACGGCTCCTGGCACCCAGAGCTTCGAAAACTATATTCAGACCTAAGTCTCTACAGACGACAAACCTGCTTCTGGTCTTCCTCGAGTTCAGATCTTTCATTCAAGGCCTCTTTTATTGCTCCCTTAAGTCGTTCTTCATTGATTTCAAATACTTTAAAGGTAGTTTTCGACTAAATAAAAGAAATGCACAGTTTATAACAATTTAACAGAAAGTTTCATGTTTATGTATTCTCCACAGAACATAAAACTTAAGCAAAGGCCCAAACAAGTCACTGTTAACAGCAGCAAAGGTAGCACCAACACTACTCTGACACAACAAACAAAGGCTGGCCGTGATCCAGGGCCCCGCCCTACCCTACCACTCATTTGCCATGTGACTCTGAGCAAATTATTGAACCTTCCGTGTACTATGTGGACAATTTTGTTAATGACTGAAATAGGAAAGACAAAAAAGAACAATTTCTAGCTACTGACTTATAGGCTTATTTAATGATTTAAAGTACTGTTTGCCTATTTGCCAGGCATGGCTTTACCTGCTACCTGGTACAGAATGACCTGGAGAAACAATAGGTTGTTGCCTTAAGCAACCTGCTGACTGCCACGTACGCTTTGGAAAAATCTTACTTGCTTGCCTGATCACTTTGTGGTTTTATAATACAAACCGGACCCAGAATGGAAGCCTTTCAGGAGCGGTCCTGACTTCAGTCCACTGATGACATCTCTCCTCTTCCACGCTTACTAGTGCCCAAGTACTTATTCCAGAAAGATCCCATACTACTTACTCTGTCTCCTACCCTAAACGTCAGACTGCAGGAAGTGACTGTTTACTGTTGTTACATATACACACAATTTCAGAGTGCTCAGCTACAGCCATAGCTTAAATCTACCCAGGAAAAATAAATTTCATTGAAAATAACTCGAGTTAAAACAAATGCTTATCTAAGACTCCCCATATTTCAAATACTAATGTAATATCTTATTACCTAATGTGTGACTATTCTTGGTAATCATCTATATAGGAAATTAGCTAAAACTGAAGCAAACTGTGAGTAATTTTTCTTATTTAAATCATTTGAAACAGAAAGACCCCCCCTTAATCCACATCCACACTTTCTGGCAGCAGCCTATCTAAGGACATGAAAGGAGGAAGCTTTCGCTCTTTGCCTGCCTCTCCTTACTCTTGCTGGCGAGTCCATTCCTTCACTCGCAACAGACCCTACTTCTTCGGGACTCTGGTGTATACTGAATATCAGATGAGACATCTAGCCTCACGGACTGAGAAATTACTGGTCTCTTGGACTCCTTGTTGGTAGACAGCCATTGCTGGACTAGTTGGACCACAGCCTGTAAGCCACTCTAATAAATACCCCTTAAATAGGGAAGGAGGGAGGAGGAAGAGGAGAAGGATGGGGGGGTGGGAGGGAGGGAAATATCTATATATGTCACCCTGTTAGTTCCATTCCTCTAGAGAACACTGACTAATATACCTAATAATAGAAATAACATGAAAACATAAATGTTCTTCAAAAGTGACAGACCAATTAAAGTAATTCAACTTAACTTACTTCAGCCACTTGTGATTTAAGAGATTTTGATTCATCTTCTAGAGATTGTATCCTTTTTGAAATATCAGCTATCTGGAAAGACAGTATCAGTCAATAAGTATTTAATAAGTCCCTTTAGCTCCAAGACAACATGTATTAGTTAGGTATATTGTTAATTTATTATCAATAAAAGTGAGAGGCCAGATGAAGAGGACTTGCCAGCTTGCTTATGATGTGCTCACAAGGATTTTACAAATTACATGACAATAGTACGTCTTCTCAAATTCAATGTATCATAGTACTTTTCAGGTTCAAGATAAACCCACAAATTCATATTTCAAATAACCTCACACACATCAAGATTTTCCTGATGCCAGACTTTAAATTTAAAAAGTGTTATAATATTTCTAATAATATTTTTAAGTTAAATATACATATATCCATTCACATTTCCCATCTGGCTATCTTCTGCTCTGTCATAGGCCCAAAGCAGATTTTTACTAACCAGTGGTAATAAAACATATTCACGGCATACAGAGGGGAATTACACATCACCTCCCCCTTTCTGTCTAAATAAAAAGGAAGATTTTAACTTTAACACAGTAAAATTACATATAACAAAACAGGTATCAAGCAAGAATTATAGTTACAACATTTATATCTACCTTTTATCATAACTAAGAAAACTATAATTATAACTATTCTTCAATTCCATCAAAGACCCCAGAAAGATATATTACCTATTAAGTTAACAAGAAGTGCATTATAAGCAACTTCTAAAACTCTAGAATTGACAGAGACATCTCACTGCCTGGACAGTCACCCAAAGTTCTTCTGTAACATTGGGGCATCTATCTTCAGCCTGCAGGCCCAGAGTATCTGGCAGACTTCCCCATGAAACAGGAAATTTGAAGATCTGTTTTGCCTTGTAAGGGCAAAGTTCATCAGATGCTTTCTTCTGTGTCCTACAAAAAATGCCTGGCAGTTCTTCCATGAAGCAAGAACCCTGAAGGACTGTCTCACCTTTAGGCAAGTTCAGCAGTCATTTTTCTGTGGGTCCTGCATGTCCAGTTTATACAGCATGTCATAAAGCAGTACAGGCAAGAGCAGTCTCTTGCCCAAATGGCTAACAAACTCTATAAGGAGCCTCTCCAATACCCATCATCCTTTTGAAGTAGATTGGTGCTGCCAGGAGCAGGCATGTCTCATTGTTGAAAAAAAGTCTAAGATATTAAAACATTTAAAATGCCATATTCTGTACATCTTTGAAAGGTTTGAAGAATACCTATCCGTCTGAAATACATCTCTGTACACCTAAAAAACCACTAACATGACTACAAGCTTGACTATTACAGACGACTATCTATTAACTTGTATTTAATAATACATTACATTTTTAAATGAGCTGCACAAAAAAATACCTTAATCAAGAGAAGAAATATACATATAACAAAATTGACCTTATATTTGTATCAAGAGACCATGATCCATACCAATACAAAGTATTCATCTCCCCCTTTAAATGAAAACAATAAACAATATTTGGGAATATGGGCATAGTTCTTTCCAAACTGCTTCCTGCTTTTTGTTGGGCAAAGTATTTGGGGGGTTTCAGGGAGCCCTTTCAGGGGTCTTGGTCCATCAAACCACATTTTTACTGTATATACGTTTTTCTCTCTCTCTCAAGCCTACATACATTTTTTTAAACACACTAAGACCCATTCAGAGGTCTTTTTCATCTGAATCTGTCTTTATTGCATATCTGTAATCATTTTCTGACCAGAAGCGCTTTTTGCTTTTTAAATGCTAAGTGGGCATGGCTAGGGACAACTCCACGGCCCTGTCTGCTTGCTCCACCCAGTCCAACATGGCGGAGGTAGTTATACTGACAGCTCTGCAAACCATTCTCTTCCCCCCACCCCAACCGCAGCTTCAGGGACACAGAGGGTCTTTGCTTCCATTAAGCAATTTGTAACACACTGCTCAAAGACTCCATTTAAGTACAGGATCTTCCCAAAGAGACAGAGCTATTTGTGCCATCAGTGCCAGAACCAGAAAGTCATTTCTTAATGAAGTCACGCAGTTATTTTGCTGCTAATGCTGAGTCAGGAAAACCTCTTAAAGGAATCGTGCCTCTACTTGCTTCTAGCAAACAGAGCCCACCCAAGAAAATGCTGCTCCCATGAAGCCATGTTTAACTCTCTCTCTCTCTCTCTGTGTGTGTGTGTGTGTGTGTGTGTGTGTGTGTGTGCAGAATTCATTTCCAAGCTCTCTCAGGTTTTATGTGGATGTAGCTGGCTCACGTTGGCGTGCCATTTTGTAGTGGGAGATTGCTCATTTGTTTCTTTGCCTCCCAGACCCAAAATAATCACACAGAAACTACATTAATTACAACACTATTTTGCCAATAGCTTAGGCTTCTTACTAACTCTTTCATATTAAATTAACCCATTCATATTATTTTGTATGTTACCTCAAGGCTTATGGTTTACCGGTAAGGTTCCAGGGCATCTTTCTCCTTAAGCAGCTACATGGAGTCTCCCTGACTCCACCTACTCACACTCTCTCTCTCTCACTCTCTCTTGCTCTCTCTCTCTCTCTCTCTCTCTCTCTCTCTCTCTCTATATATATATATATATATATATATATATATATATATATATATATTTTCATATTTCCTGGCTATATTCTGCCCCTTCACAGGCCCAAAGCAGCTTCTTTATTAACCAATGGTAATAAAACATATATATTCACAGCATATAGATCCTTCACTTGAAATATGATTATTCAAGTTATATTATTTATGTTACTTTCACAGCAAATATGGAAATTTTCTTTGAAAATGTAATGTATGAAAGCGCCAAGTATTGGGGAACATACTTGCAATCACAGCTCTTAAGAGGCACAGGCAGGACGATCAGGAGTTTGAGGCCAGTCTCCATTACACAGTTATACAGACTGGGCTATAAACCAAGACTGTCTCAACAAGAAAAAAAGAATATGCAAAAAAGAACTATGATCACATCTGAAAAGTGAAAGATTAGATCTGGAAATTTTTGTTCTCATGGTCTTCTACATTCTATTTCTTTTGTGCATGAGCTTTTTGTTTTGTTTTGGTTAGATTTATTATTTGGTTGGTTGGTTTGGGAATTTTATTTATTTATTTTCATTTATTTACATTTTTGAAGATAGTGTCTCTTCTCCCTGTGCAGGCCAGGCTAGCCTAGAACTCCTGACTCGTCCTCCCAAGTGCTAGGATTACAAGCTTGTACCACTATGGTTGGCTTACATGTAATATTTTAATCACTATCAGTATTTATTCAATATTTAATCAAAAGTATTAATATGTAAAATTCATAATTCTCTTGGAATACACAAGACTCACCAACTCATCTTGTTCACAATATTTAGCTCTCTCTTCTTCTAGCTCCTTCTCTAGAAGGAGTACTTCATCTTCAAGTTCAGATTTGGATTTTTCTAGATTTTCACAAGTTGCCTAAAATAGAAAGCTAATTTTAATAAGCTAGACATACGAATTTTTAGTTAGGGTAAAAAAAATCAAATGAGTATAATCAAACAAATTTATAAACACTTTATACATTTGTTCATTTCTGTAATATTAAAATAGCAGCAGGTCAAGCAGTTGCCAGCAACTTCTATAAAGAGTGTAAGTATTTCAGGCTCCCAGCAGCTAAGCATGAGAAACAAAGACTACCCATGAAGGAATTAATATGGCTACATTCCAATAAAACTTATTTACAAAGACAGAAGACTGGAGAAAATCCACCAAGCACAGCTTGTCAACAGTTCTTAAGCATGTTAAAAAGCATGTTACAGGTGAAAAGGACAAGTTTAACTTAATATAAAGAATGTAAATCAAGATTGCATCATATTTTCCATTGAATGACATATTTTTATAATAGTTTTAATTTAAAGTGATTAATGATTAGATTCGTTTTTTATTTTAAATACTATAATTAACATACCTCGGATATTTGTGATCCTTCAACAAACTTGTTAAAAGAAGACAAAAGTACAATGTGTTACAGTAGTCCATACCTGTTTACCTGCATCTCCCCAAATCTGACTATTTCATCACCGGACTTCTGACTTGAATCAAGATTACTCTATTGGTTTGATTTTTACCTGCAAAGTCAACTCTCAAGCTTTGTAAAACTTGTATTTCATTATAGTCTGTGCCCAACTATGACTACTGTCCTTACAAATGTTTACAATTACTAAAAGTAGCAGATAATTTTCTAAGGTAGCTAATGTGACTGCATCTCAACTCATCTTACTCATAATTCACATATATTTATAGTCATAACAAACTTGTATGCTTATATTACCTGTAATACCAATATTAGATTGGTCTGAATAAATATTTCTTTGTTACCCAGTAACAACTTTTCTGTTACCATGAATACCAAGCAGCTTCTAAAACTATGTTTTGTTTTGTGGCATTTGCTTTGATTTTGTGCATGTGTTTGTTTTTTGAGACAAACTTGGCAATCCTAAAACATTAGCCCCCCAAGTGCCGGGATGATAAGCATACCCCACCATTCAGAGAAACTAATAAATCTCCACTGGGATAGCATTTATAATAGAGGCAAACAATAGAGAACAAAAGGTTCTCGATGCTCACTGAATAAACCTACAAAGAGTTCCTGAAGCTATTCACAGGTAACAAAGAAAAAAAATAAGGATTTATTTGGAGTCTAAACTTCTTGTGGCTACTACAAGGGCATTCTAAATCATAAGACGCAGACTCCTGTGAGGACAGACGATGACATTGCCACGCCAGACTCAACACAAAGGCACAATGTCGATTATCTATTTTAACATCAGCAGGGGCAGACGGCTTCTACCACCGAGGCTCACGACTCCCTTTTTACAACCCTTCCATCTGTAAATAGTATCAAGGCACTCCATAACATCCTCATCTGTCTGAGAAGAGGAACCCTTGCATCCTCTAAGACAGGAGAGTTAACTGTGTGTCTCTCAAACTCCCCATTCAGTGACATCATGTACGGACTGAAAAGTGGCCATGACAAAATGTGTACACAGGGACTGATCTATAGACAGGGATTAAACATTCACCACCATGCCACTATTTACATACAAACCTCTGGTCTAATTCTAGTTAATGTCTACTAATATGGTAAGGAAAAAAAGTAATATGGTCACAACTTACTTGTCTCCTATTATGCTTGAATTTGTGAAAGAGTTCTATGTCTCTTTCCTGGATCAAACTATGTCAAAAAAAGGAATGGATGGTCTCTTCAATGCATTCTTAGGAATACAGAATAAAGGATTTCTTTCTATAAACCTATAGATTCTGATAAACTGGTTATGTATCCTTCAGAACAAGTTAATAATAAGAGCTCAAATTGTTTTGTTTTCAAATGTTTTATGCCACCTACAAATGTTCTGTTTCTGCTTTTTCTCTAACTTTTAAGATCCAGATACGCCATTTCCTATTTCTCTGAAATTATTATTTTTGAGAAGATAACATATTTTTAAAGTTTGTTATTTAATAAGAATCTTTTCCCTAGCTTTTAAATCATACTTTTTGGTTTGTTTGCTTGTTTTTTTTACCTCCAAACTGTGTACTTCTGACTTCTTGTCAAAGTTGGCCTCCTTTAAAGATGACTCTAAGCCTTCATACTGAATGAAACAAGGCAACATGTGAGTAAAAACTACAAACTTTATCTCAAAGTGTATCTAAATAGACGCCTAAAAGGAAAACAATCTATTTCCACATATGTAAAATTCTCTTGGAGCAAAGTGGTCCCAAAGTCTGCTGGGGGTGGAAACTCTAAAGCAAGTGCATGCTAATGAGCACTCAAAGAAGTGAGAGCTCTATCATCCCCAAACAAATTAACAGGAGACGACGCAGCACTGGCCATCAGATATTTACACAGAGGACAAATAAAGCAAGCAAGGAAGATAAAATTTTTAAAAGACAAAATAATCAACAAGGAATAAAAAACTAAGAATAATAAAATAGAAAACAACCCAAGATTTGGCAAGTCTTTAAGGGGGTGATTAAACTGAAGACTATGTTGTTTTTGAATCAAGCTTCCTGCTGAACAACAGCTAGCTAACACACCAAAGGAAAGGGTCTGTCTGGAGGCCTCTGAGAACTACTCAAACAGCAAAGACGAACGGGAGAAGAGAACCCTGCAGACAGCAAACCCAGCGGTGTGCATTTCTTCTTCCAATAAGAGACTCACACAGGCAGGGAACTAGGTAAGGATTTTAGAATTAGAAGCCATGATGAAACAATGTGTACACTTCAGGACCTGCTAAGTCAGAAGAGCTTTAGGACAGGACCCCGTGCTTTCCTCAATATTTCAAAAAGTATCATTTTGATAACTAAGCAAGAAATAGACAACACAAGAAAAAGAAAATAGGTCAATGTGTCTGGAAACAACTACCGCAAAATTCTCAATATATTTCTAACAAATGAAACTTAAAAGGTTAGAAATCTAATCATGTGGAATTTACCCTTGACACTAAAGCTAAACAGTCAGTGTGATTCGTCACTTCACCAACCCACATGAGCAAACACAAGCACATGGATCAACACAGAGCTGAACAAAATTCAGCTTCCTTACCAAAAGGTTTATGTGTAAGAGGAAAGACCCCCATGACAATAAAGGTCATTTATGGAAAATACAAGCAACACAACAAATGGAGAGGAAATGAAAGCGGGGCAAGGACAGCCCCTTCCTCATTTTATTCCTCATTTGTGTGCTTATTACTTTAATCTGTAATTTTTATTTTCCAATTACTTCTACATACTTTTTAATTATTTTTATTTATCTATTTGTTCTGAACATGTTAGGTGCTTGGTTGGTACGTAGGAACTTGTGCCTTGGTGGGAAAGGCTCTTCTACACAGCCTTTTCCTCTAACCTAATACATAAAATTTTCTCTATTGCTTTTCATAGCTCTGACACCTACACATTTCCTATTTTGCTAGTGTTCCCTTTCTGACCCTTCTTTATGTCTTAAATACTGGTAAGTAATATTTTCTCTGTGGCTTTTCATATCTCTAACACTTTTAATCCCAGCACTGAGAAGGTAGAAGGCCCACATCCAGCACACACATATACATGCAAGCAAAACACTCATACATACAAAACAAAAATAAAGAGCATTTATTTTTGATAAATAGGACTCAGGTTCAGTTCCCAGCACTTATACAGCAGCTCACAACTGTCTGTAACTCCAGTTGCAGGAGATCTGACACCCTCACACAGACATACATGCAAGCAAAACACCAATGCATATAAAATAAAAAAAATGAAGAAGGAGGAGAAGAAGAGGAGGAGGAAGAGGAGGAGGAGGAAAAGGAGGAGGAGGAGGAAGAGAGCTGGGCAGTGTTAGTGTACATCTTTAATCCCAGCACTCTGGGAGGCAGATTCTCTAAGTCTGAGGTCAGCTTGATCTACAAAGCAAGTTCCAAGACAGCTAAGGCGACACAGAGAAACCTTGTCTCTTAAGCCTCAGCACCTCAGAATGTGTGTTATTTGGAGACAAAACCTTTAAATAATAATGGATAAAATGAGGCAGTAAGATGACCCTAACCTAGTATGCCTGGTCTCCTAAGAAGACAGAGTGAGACATGGCAAGCAGGCAGCACTATCCACAAGTCAAGGGCCAGGCCACAGAGAAAGCACAGCCTACCTATGCCTCCATCTTGGACTCTTGTTTTCAGAACTGTAGGAAATTCACCCCTGTTGCTAAAGTGGCATTTTGTCACAGCAGCCCTAGCAAGCTAACTAAGCCGAATGAAAACAGTAAGTAAAGTCTCTACGCGATGACAAGTAAGGGCACCACTACACCCTTGGTAAGCAAAACTCGACACATGACACTACACTAAAATTCTAATCCTAAACCTCTACCTTCTAAGACACCAAACAAAACAGAAATGTTAGCCACAACATATTTGCAATCCACACATCTGACAAAACTCATATATAAGATATAAACTATTCAAAACAAAAGTCCTACTTCTATATGACATAAAGAAAAAAAGATTATGAGTGCTTTTAAAAGGGTGGAAATGGGCCAGTGAGATGGCTTGGTACTTAAGGAGCTGGCCGCCAAGACTGACTTCAATCCCTGGGACCCACATGGAAAAGGAGAGAACCGACTCCTCCATGTTCTTTTCTTTTTTAATTTTTTTTTTTATGATTTATTTATCTTTATTTTATGTACATTGGTGTGAAGGTGTCAGATCCCCTGGAACTGGATTTTCAGACAGTTGTGAGCCGCCATGTGGGTGCTGGGAATTGAACCCGGGTCCTCTGGAAGAGCAATCTGTGCTCTTAACCGCTGAGCCATTTCTCCAGCCCAACTCCTCCATGTTCTACAATCACGACACAGATGCCTTGGTACATGTACACACTCAACAACACAAAGAGACACACACAATAATAATGTCCTTTTTAAGGCGAAAAAGACTTAAAAATGCAAGTTCACAAGAAGACTATCTAAATGAACAATAAACAAACGAAAGTGCTCCACCTGGTTAGTCAGGAAAGATAAGCACTAGACATCACCAGGGTGGCTGCAAAGAGAAGGCCTAAGTGAGGCAGGTGCTCGGCAACGGAGCTCTGATGGCCCTGAGTGACCCACGAACAACCACTAAGCCCCACGCTCTCCACTGACATCATTTTCAGACACCTCTCACCTCCTTCTGAACGAGGCTGAGTTTATCAAGTAGTTTACATTTCTCTTCAATTAGTGCTGAAAGTTCTAGAGCAAGTTTTCTTTCTCTTCCTGAGAAAGCAAAAGAAAGATTATTACTATAACTAAACTGTTACAAGTTTTATTAATTATATACAAGCACGGGATCTAAGACAGAATAAAAAAAAACTTACCCACATAAAATCGGCTTTGAATCTGAAACAAATTTTTAACAAAATTGCATTAAAACAAATACACCTTCAAGTAAATCTATATGACTTTTCCTAAGTTAATAACTTTCTTATGGCTTTACAGTGAGCATATGACCCAAAAGCATTCTATTCCCAGTGAAAACAATGCTACCCAGTGGGTCTCCCACCCTAGAGCCACATTGTGCTATCATATTATAGGCTCTGAGACAGCCGCATTATAAAGACACCTGTTTAATTCCACTTAAACCCATGTTTCCCAGCCTGGAGAGATGGCTCAGAGGTTAAGAGCACTGGCTGCTCTTCCAGAGGTCCTGAGCTCAATTCCCAGCAACGACATGGTGGCTCATACCATCTGTGCCTTCTTCTGGCCTGCAGACAGACATGCAGACAGAAAAGTATATACATAATAAAGAAATAAATCTTTAAAAAAAGATGTTTCCCATGCACATATTTGGCCCTAAGAAAAAGTAGTTTTTAATGCCAGCACTCAGGAGGCAGAGGCAGGCAGATCTCTGTGAGTTCGAGGCCAGCCTGGTCTACAGAGCGAGTTCCAGGACAGGCTCCATAGCTACTGAGAAGCCCTGTCTTCACAAACCAAAACAAACGCAGACTCCCCCCTCAAAACAGAAAAAAAAAAAGAAAAGGGTGGGGCTTTGGAACTAGTGTACAGTATTCCTACAAAGAAAATCCTTTCAAAATTCCTTACATGTGAAAACATTTCTCTAAATCCATATTCACTTTCCAATAATTACATATTACCATGAGCAGCCCAGAACACTCTGCCCTAACTTATTTCCCTGAAATAACAAGTTTCTCCAAACAGTTGTTCTGTCTAAAGACAGAATGAGGGTTGGAGAGATGGCTCAGTGGCTAAGAGCACTTGTTACTCTTGTATTGGACCAGGATTCAATTCTCATCACCCACATGGTAGCCCACAATCATCAGGAACTCCAGTACCAAGGATCCTCTTCTCAACTCTGTGTGTACCAGAAACACAGGTGATACACATACATACACGTAGGCAAAACAGTCATACATATAAAATAAAATGAACTTAAAAAACACAAACCCAGAATGACCATTCTCTTAGTCTGAGTGGTTACTTACTGATCGGAAGGCTCTCCACAGAAACAGGAGGAAGACAAGCAGTCCACCGGTAAGCACACAGATCACCAATTCCATTGAAAATCCATTGGCACTGAACTCTGCTTTCATATCTTCAGGCAATGCTGCCACGACCTTCAAGACAAAAGAAGTTAGCCTATCAATGCAAGTCTTCCACATTCCACAGTCGTGTGGCTGAGGTCAGCTCTAGGAATATGAAATGGGCTGCCATGTAATACTGAGCAGAAAACCTCCGACCATGTTTTCTTACAACTTACAAGTGTGCTTGTACTGAGAGACAAATGTGGTGTGAAACACAGAGGTTTTCAAACAGGAGCTATGAGGAGATTCCCAGAGCTTAACTCCAGTAAAGTTTCAAGGATAAGGAAGGGGCAGCATGGAGCGTGCCTTTAATTCCAGAACTCCAGAGGCAGAGGTGGGTGGATCTTTTTGAGTTCAAGGCCAGTCTGGTCTATAGAGTGAGTTCCAGGACAGCTAGGACTATTACACAGAGAATCCCTGCCTTGAACAACAACAACAAAAAAAATGTTGTGGAATATATTAGTTTAAAATGTGTTACACTCATTTATACTTTGGAACATTTGTTTAATGATGCAAAGATGTGTTGCATTCTTTTATGTTACATCCTTTTTTTTTTAACTCTGTAAAGCTGTGTTACTTTGCCTGCCTAAAACACCTGATTGATCTATAAAGAGCTGAATGGCCAATAGCTAGGCAGGAGAAAGGACAGGAGGGGCTGCATGGCAGAGAGAATAAATAGGAAAAATCTGGAGAAGAGTAAGCAAGGAAAGGAAGAAAGGAGGACACCAGGGGCCAGTTACCGATTAAGAAGGACAGAAAGACACATAGAATAGAGAAAGGTAAAAAGTCCAGAGGCAAAATGTAGTTAAAGAGAAATGGGATGATTTAAGTTAGAAAAGCTAGCTAGAAACAAGCCAAGCTAAGGCCGGGCAATCATAAGAATAAATCTCCATGTATTTATGGAGCTGGGTGGCAGGCCCCTGGAGTTTAAAAAAAAAAAAACTACAAAAGAATATCAATGACCTGGGTTGGGTACTTTTCACTGACTTAAAAGTCATGTTTTATCTATATGCATTGTGTTTGACAAAACATTTCCCTGCAGAGGAAAAACACAGATCCAGTGTCTGGAGCCTCCTGCCTCCTCCTCTGCTTACCAAGAGGGACCAATTACAGATGCCTCTTCTCTGCCCAACTTTAATGTGGGTTCTGGGGATCTGAACTCAGGTGTCTTCCCCACCGAACCATGTCTCCAATCCAACTACGGAAATTAGAAAATACTTCCAGGGGATGGTGAGATGGTTCAACAGTTAAGAGTACTACTGATGGTTCTTCCAGAGGACCCGAGTTCAATTCCCAGCATCCAACAGGGTCCATAATTCCAGTCCCAGGGGATCCGACACGCTTTTGTGGCATCTTCAGGCACCACAAACACATGGTGCAGAGGCATATGTGCAGGAGCAAAACACCCACGCACATAAAATAAAGGGTTTTTTCCAATAAAAATAAAATGCTTTCAGATAAATAGAAAAAATACAACACAACAGAACTTATAAAATACAGCTAATTCAGTGCATAAAAGGGAAATTTGTAGTTGTGAAAGCCTTTCTTAAAAAGTTATTGGGCCAGGAAGATGACTCAATAGGTAAGAACTTTGCCACCAAGCCTGATGACCAGAGTTTGAACCCCAGAATACATGGTAGAAGGAAAAAGAACAGATTCCTGGGTCCTTGGATTTCCATGCACAAGCACACACACACACACACACGAATAAACGTAATTTTTAAGTTAAAAAAATCAATGCTATATACCATAGTAAAAGAAATAAGAAAAAATGACATCAACAGATACTAAGAAAATATTTCACAAAATCAAATGTCCTCTAATAATGATCAAGAGACTCTGCAAACTAGGGCGACATTTCTCAATCTGACAAACAGCACCAGTACAAAACCCACAGCAACACCATCCTGAAGGTGTGCGAGGGACTGTTGCCCTGAGATCAGCAAAACACATCCACATAGACAATTGAAGCATGAAAAATCCTGCAAAGTTTGCAAAATCTCTCCATGTCCCTCATTACCAGCCTTATCAAAGCCAAGTGTTGGTAACTGTTAGGCGTGTGTTTTATGTGTCCACTGCATGAGCATATGCAGAAAAGCCAGAGGGTGACATGGAGATGTCTTCCTTCTCCACCTTAATTTTTCTGAGACAGCAGGGTCTCCTGCTGAACCTAGATTCTTGGCTAAATGGTGACCAGCGAGCCTGGGATTCCCCTACACACATCTCCACCCAATGCTAGAGCTGGGGGTACCATAAGCCTAGCATTCACATTGCCTGTGAGGGTTCCAACTCCAGATCACACTTGCATAGCAAGGACTTAACACTGAGCCATTTCCCTGGGTCCTAACTGTTAGTTTTAAGGGAGATGTGTGTGACCTGAAATTATGCCTCATTTACAGTATGCTTCTCGTACCACAAATCCCATCTCAGTAACTTAGTGACACAGCCAGAGATTTGGGATTATTCTAGATTCTCCCCACATCCCATCCCTCTCCACAACTAATCAAAAAAGTCCTATTTAGGACCACCTTCTGTATCCTCACCACCTGTAGCACGAATTCTAATTGGTCTTAATAAATAAAACCCGAAGTCAGATATTAGGGCGTGAAAGCTGAAGGATCAGAGAAGCAGAGCAGCCAGCCACTAGAGAGACCTTTTACCTTAACAATGCTCAGACCAAAGGGGCAATCCTGTCCTCAAACTGTCTCCTCAGACTGTCTCCTCAGACTGCAACTGTCTCCACCAAACCTCGGACTGCACTGATCTCTTCTCTCCTCCCGCCTTATATTCCTCTCCCCAGCCATATCACTCCTGTATCCACCTCCCTAGTGCTGGAATTAAAGGCATGGGATCACCATTGTGTAAACTGTTTCTCTTTTAGACAGATTCAATGACTGTGTTGGCCAGGGTGGCCTTGAAGTAACAGAGATCCCTCTGCCTGTCTCCGGAGTCCTGGAATTGAAGGTGTGTGCCGCCACTCACTCTGGTTTCTAGGGGCTTAGCTCTGCATTCTAGTCTTCAGGCAAGCTTGACTTAAAACACAAACAAGATATCACTACAACCACTGTCATTTCTCCTTCCTGTTTTGTCCCCTGACGTCTGACCTACATACTTTCAGGAAAATCTATACTTTTTTCTAAAAGTCTAGCCCCTGAAAAGCCTTCAATGGCTCTCCCGCACCCTCCAGCAGTCCTTGGCTCACTTTATGCTCTGAGCAGCTGAGCTCCTGCGCACGCTGTTTTCACATCTACTTTAGCTATGTGCTCAGCCTCTAAAAAGACTTTCCCAACAACCCAAGAAAATACAATCTCTCCCTCCCCTTGTTTTGCATGTGTGCTTCTATAAACAATCGGCTTCGACTGTGCATTAATTTTTGCGTGTTCTCTCCCTAAAAAGACAACATGCTGAAAAGGACCAAAACTCTTAGTTCACTTAGAACCTCCACGGAGCGTTTGCATTCATGAGTGGGAGCGCCCACTACACCATGGCTATCAGATAAACGAAGCATGAGCATGGCAAGACTACTTTAAATTCAACAACTAGAGGATACTCACAACTGGTTAATCAGAACAGCTGCAGTATTTAAATGGTCTTTTTTAAAATGCAATGGAGTTTTCAAAAACTGTGTGTGTGTTCCTAAACACGTCAACAGCAACAAGAAAACCACTCACAAACACTTAAAGAGCAAAACCTCAGCCGCCTGCTTACAAAATGAGAGAGAAAAAAACAGATATATACTTTGGATCCTGAGCGTTCACTATCTCTAGAGTTTACAAGAACACATTTTACAGTAACAATAACGAAAGGGAAGAAGGCACACTACAATTAAAGGCATATCAAAAGGGCATTATTCTTTACTGGGGAAAATAATGAGGAATTAGAATCTTAGCTCTGGCCCCGGCTAGGTGTCCTCTTAGGTAAGAAGTTTCATCGCCAAGAAACTCCAGTTTCCGGCAGTTACCACGTGTAACTGACCCCTGTTCAAAATAAATAATGTTCAGGCAAATTGACTCCGGAATTGAGAACGGTGCGGGCCCCTCTGGAAGTTCCACGTTGCCTTCCGGATCCCCGGCCCCTTTCCCCGCGGCGAACAGCAGACTAGCACAGGCCGGGCGAGCGCGCTGAGCTCCGGCTAGCTTCCCCCGCCGCACACGCTCGGCCCCACCGGGCCCACGGCTCCCGAGCCCAGGACTCACCCAGCGCAGCAGCTCCAGAAGCAGCCGCACGCACCCGGCGGCGGCCCCGGACCCCAT